CCGACATCATCAAACAACTTAACACGAATGATATACCCGACGACATCAGAGAAGAGTGTTTTGCTTCATTCCAAGACTCAGAAAAACTACAACAGGGGGAGTGGGTTGCCATCTGGGGAGGTAAGACAAGCAAACAACTATTCTCCATGACCATCTAAATAACATGGAATAAACAGCTTCAACAACAACAGGCCTAATCGCCCTCCAACTAGCCAAACTCGCCGGGCTACGTGTAATCTGCGTAGCAGATGCGGCCCGACACGGCACGAAACTCGTACAGTCTGGCGCAGACCTCCTAGTCGACCGCCAGGATCCCGACCGCGCAGTAGAAATCATCCGCGGCGTCACCGGCGGCAAGCTACGGTATGCCATTGACATTGTCGGCAAAGACACAGCAACACAACTTGAAAAGACTCTCAACCCTGATGGTCATGCTCATCTTCTTGGACTCACTGGTCTGCCCAAGGAGCGAAATCCCGGGATACAGTATCACACTGTGCCTATTAAGCTCTTCCATACTGCTCCTGGGGTTGGTGAGGCTATGGTTTGCTGGTTGGAAGATCTGCTGCATTCGACGAATCTGACGTTGCCGGAGATTGTTCGTGCTGAGGGTGGATTGGAGGGGATCAATTCGGCGCTTGAGACTTTGAGGAGTGGTTCTGTTTCTGGGAAACGGATTGTTGTTGATCTTGCTTCTCCTTCGCCTTAGGTTGTTAAAATTGGGTCTCTTTCGCACTTGATGTGTTGAAGATTGGACTTTGGTCCTATGGTATATGACTATAGATTTGTCTTTTTTAGAGTATGACGACATTACATGCACATTTTACTATTTTATTCATAGTTTATTTTGGGGTTTCTGCAGAGTAGTTACATCAATCCTCCGGCCCTCTTGCTCAGCCAGAAAATCGAACATATGTCTCAAAAGCTCTGCTAACTGAGCTCTTGGTCGAGGCGATCAGATTCAGTGGCTCTACGATGAGTGCCTTAGGGTACAGGCCTCTCTTGGTAACTAAGTTAGTTTGCCCTAGTTTCTCGGACTATTTAGTCTTCGATCTCTCCATAGAAAAAATACGTATCATCTTCCTCTCTTTCCCGGTCTTCACCCATCACTTGTAGCTCATGGCGGGAGAAAACCTTTGTAAATTCACGTCTGAATTTTAGATTTAGGACAACCGCGATATAAATTAACAACACGTGCACAGTGTTCCGAATTGGATTCTCGATTTTCCTTGACCTTCTACCTTCTCGTTTGACCTGACGTTCTTGTTTACCGTCCCTATTCAAGACGTCTTTCCAAATCCTCCGAATGAGCTCCTGCTCATATCATTCGGTCCTCAGCTGCCAACTAGATACCCTAGCAGTGGATACCAGCTAACACTTCCGCTTCCTCTCCATTAAAGAGCTGAACAATTTGTCACAGGTTCATGCCACAACTTAAAGTGGGTCTACGCATGCCGCAGCTCACCTTTCTGCTGTGCACTAGAAATAGGCTGTATCAAACACATTGAGGCCTGGCTAGAAGCGACCAGAATGTCACAGGATGATGGATTGGCTCAATGTAACAGTGAAAGATCTATGCTTTCCGGTGTCACTATATACGTGGTATCTAAGCTCCTTCAACGCAGACACTGTAAGTGTAGTTAGACCTAGTATAATAGATAAATCATAAATCAGGTAGGCAAAATAGAGGCCAAGATGAAGTACATTACGGCTACCGAGGCTTAGCATTGACTCACAGTGGGCCGATCGGAGTCACTAGCCAATCAGAGATTCTTCATTATTGGTCCCCCGGAGTCGGTCAGAGTATAGGGGGGGTGGGGGTACGTCATGCATATGCTTACTATGCTTCCCCATATACATGGACAATGTCTTGCAGAAGTTACTGTCACCATTCAATCAATTTAGTTTAACAGATCTAATTCTCCAGGCTCAATTCCACGTACAATATTTCGTGTGTCATTCTTTTTCCCTCCGAGCCGCCATCAAGCGCGACTAGCCGCATTGCCATTTTGGGAATATGCAACGCCGACCGACATCGGTGCTACCCTTGGTTCCCACATCAGCCAATCACATTGTAACCATTCGCCGCTGACCGGCCGAGATCGGCATTGCCCCTCAAGAAGCTTCCCAGCGACATCGCGGATTCTTCAGACCAGAAAAATATATCAAGACTCGTTTCTCTCCATATCCCCAGTTCTCCATACTCCTCTCGCTCTTTACAAAGCGAGCTCTGCGCACCTGTCAACTTATTCCCCCTATACTCAATTCCACCTTATATCCTCCCTTCATCTTTACTCCCCACCATGCCCTCCGCAGAGTCAAAACCCAAGACCTTGTACGACAAGGTCTTCTCCGACCACATTGTCAATGAGCAAGAAGATGGCACTTGCCTGATCTACATTGACCGTCACCTCGTTCACGAGGTCACATCCCCTCAGGCCTTCGAGGGTCTCACAAACGCCAGCCGCAAGGTCCGCCGGCCGGACTGCACTCTTGTTACCGTCGACCACGTATGTTTATCCAATTCTTTCGCAAGTCGCAACTAACAATGTTTGGTTTATAGAACATCCCTACCTCCTCACGGAAAAACTTCAAGAATGCCGAGGAATTTATCAAGGAGAACGACTCGCGTCTCCAATGCACGACCCTGGAGCAGAATGTGAAAGACTTCGGCCTGACCTACTTCGGTATGGGTGACAAGCGCCAGGGTATTGTCCACATCATTGGACCCGAGCAGGGTTTCACACTACCCGGCACAACTGTCGTTTGCGGTGACAGTCACACCTCCACCCACGGTGCCTTCGGTGCTCTCGCCTTCGGTATCGGAACTAGTGAGGTCGAGCACGTCCTCGCTACCCAGACCCTTATTACCCGCCGCAGCAAGAACATGCGAGTTCAGGTCGACGGCGAGCTCCCAGCCGGTGTCACCAGCAAAGACGTTGTCCTCCACATTATCGGTGTTATCGGAACTGCCGGTGGTAACGGTGCTGTCATCGAATTCTGCGGACCCGTCATCCGTGGACTGAGCATGGAGGCCCGTATGTCCATGTGCAACATGTCCATTGAGGGTGGTGCTCGTGCCGGCATGATCGCCCCGGACGAGACCACTTTCGAATACCTCAAGGGTCGTCCCCTTGCCCCCAAATACGGCAGCGCCGAGTGGAACAAGGCCACCGCCTACTGGTCCAGCCTGAAGTCTGACCCCGAGGCCAAGTACGACATTGATGTTTGCATTGACGGCAAGGATATCGCCCCTACTATCTCCTGGGGTACATCTCCCCAGGATGTTGTTCCTATCACCGGTGTGGTCCCCGGCCCCGATGACTTTGAGGATGAGAACCGCAAGCTGTCCTGCAAGCGCGCTCTGGAATACATGGGTCTCGTCGCTGGCACTCCCATGAAGGATGTCGTCGTCGACAAGGTTTTCATCGGATCTTGCACGAACGCCCGTATTGAGGATCTGCGTGCCGCCGCCAAGGTGGTCAAGGGCCGCAAGATCGCCTCCAACATCAAGCGCGCTATGATCGTTCCCGGATCCGGTCTGGTCAAGGAGCAGGCTGAGTCCGAGGGTCTCGACAAGATCTTCACCGACGCTGGTTTCGAATGGCGTGAGGCTGGTTGCTCTATGTGCCTGGGTATGAACCCGGATATCCTCTCCCCCAAGGAGCGCTGCGCCAGTACTTCCAACCGTAACTTCGAGGGTCGCCAGGGTGCCCAGGGCCGTACCCACCTGATGTCCCCCGCCATGGCCGCCACCGCCGCCCTTGTCGGTAGGCTCGCCGACGTCCGCGAGCACACCGTCCCCAGCCCCGTCCTCGCCAAGGTCTCCCCCAAGATCGATGTCCAGCCCGAGGCCGACTCCCCCCAGACCGAGGATGATCTCGACCGTGTCCTCGACCAACCCGCCGACAACGAGCCCCACACCAACTCTTCTGCCGGCGGTGGCAGCAGCACTGGTCTTCCCAAGTTCACCACCCTGAAGGGAGTCACCGCCCCCCTGGACCGCGCCAACGTCGACACCGACGCCATCATCCCCAAGCAGTTCCTCAAGACTATCAAGCGTACCGGTCTTGGCTCCGCTCTCTTCTACGAGCTCCGTTACACCGACGACAAGGAGAACCCCGACTTCATCCTGAACCAGGGTATCTACCGTAACGCCAAGATCCTCGTCGTCACCGGCCCCAACTTCGGCTGTGGTAGCTCCCGCGAGCACGCCCCCTGGGCTCTCCTCGACTTCGGCATCAAGTGCATCATCGCCCCCTCCTTCGCCGACATTTTCTTCAACAACACCTTCAAGAACGGCATGCTGCCCGTCGTCGTCTCCGACGAGGTCGCCCTGCAGAAGATCGCCGACGAGGCCCGCGCCGGCCGCGAGGTCGAAGTCGACCTCGTTAACCAGGAAGTCAAGGATGCCCAGGGTAACAAGATCGTCTCCTTCGAAGTCGACGGCTTCCGCAAGCACTGCCTCGTGAACGGCCTTGATGACATCGGTCTGACCCTCCAGATGGAGAGCAAGATCCGCAACTTCGAGGCTAAGCGTACCCTCGACACCCCCTGGCTGGATGGCAGTGGCTACCTCCGCCGTGACCGCCGTGGTGCGACCATGGTCGAGGCTGCCCCTGTTCCCAAAACCAACCGTGGGGATGTCAAGAACGAACCCCTTGAGTGGTAAAGGTTGTTCTTGTGTTTGTCACCTGGGCGCTTCTACAATTGTGTCTAGGTTTGCTTTTTGGTGCTGGTGCTGGCATTCATACTGGCTTCATATTGTTTGGATATCAAAAACATATTCCCCTATTATTTGCGGCGACGCCTATTTCATGTTGCATTCGGCTGGTCATGGGCTGTTGGTTTAATTTGAGTCTACGAATTTCAACGAGAATGAATTATGATCGTGGAGCTACTTTTTCTTGTAAAAAAATTCAGTATATGCGATAGATCACAACACCAAGAGCCTTGCTCTCGGTCGTAGTGTATATCTTGGCTGTAGTGTATATGATGCCCTATTTACTTTCCGTACTCTCCTTGGAGCCAGTATGCTTAGACTCCAATAGCGACGGGCTTTCCACACTGTTCAAAATTAGGTTCCTGACGTCCGATGGCCCAGTGAAGCGTTTCCTTGCGGTAGTGAACCAGGTTATGAAGCTCAGTATTGTCACCAGTCCGATAGCAGCACTGGTATAGTTCATTGAATCGGAGGTGACCGGAGCCCCAGAAGGGAAGTTGAATGTAATAGAAGCAAACAGCAAAAAGACCAAGCCGATAACATTGAAGCTGATTGACAACGGAAGAGGCAATGAATATGATCCCTCGAAAGAGGAAGTTTGGTGACCAAAGAAATAGCCCAATAGCCGCGCAAACAGGGCAAGGCCGTATGAGACATCTATTCAGAACCGTTAGCCTTTGATCACAAAAAGGGAAAAGGGGGACATTATCACTCACAGAATCCTGTAGTAGCAAGTGAGACAATCGTCTCAAAGCCAGTCACCGTCCCAAAGTAAATCGCATTCAAAGCGAGCTGCACCACCAAAGTAAGAATAATAGAATATAGAGGAATCTTCTTCCTCGGGTCGACCTTAGACCACAAACCCGAGAATGGAAGACCATGATCTCGAGCAAAGGCATAAACAGACCGTGATCCCTCAGCAACAAGACTAACAGAAGCCACGATGATAATAACAGTAATCATACTCGCCAGTATACAAGTCCCAACCTTACTATGCGTGGAGTCATAGAAGATCTGAATAACAGGAACACCCGTACTCGAATCCGCCGTGGCCCCAATATCACCCATACAAAAGCAAAGCGTGAGAAGAAACACAAAGCCCGTCACAGCACCCATAATAACAGAAAGAATAATTGCCCTGGGCGCATCTCGACTGGCATGCGTCATCTCTTCTGTCATATGACTCGGTGCATCGTAGCAGCACATCCCGAAAAAGCTCTGCAGGATACCAACGATCGTTGCCATTGCAGCGCCGAAACCTGTCATGTTTCGGAAGTCGTGGAAGACGAAGCTTGCGTCTTGCTTTTGTTTATTCGTTACAAGCAAAGTGATAATGACGATTATGAATGAGGCAATGTTCCATAGTAGGATTATGCGTGATAGACGATGTAACGCATGAGGCGCGAATATATTGACTGCCAGCGCGAATAGTCCCACAGCCCAGGCGACTAGGACTGTATGCCATCGTTCGATGACGAAATCTGGGAAGACTAGGTTCGCTTGACCTAGGATGTAATTAGATCCAAATGAATTGTTGACTGCACCCATGGCCAGGATGCCTACATAGAAATTAGCTAGATATTCACCTGCAAAAAGAGGGGGTAGGTACGTACCAGTCAACATAAACCACCCGGTGATATAAGACAACTGCCTCGATACTCGTGGCGGCGCCAGCATAGCAACCCATGAGTATTGACCACCCGCCACAGGCCAGCGTGAACACATCTCAGCCATGGCCAGCGCGATGAACACGGTGAACACGCAGACTCCGATCCAGCCGAAGATCATGACTGGTGGGCCGCCTGCTTCGACGCCGATGATGAATACTCCGCTTAGGGCTGTCCAGCAGGTTACGATGCTGAAGCTGAATCCTACCATGTCGAATAGGCTGTATGAGCGCTTGAATTCTTGTTGGTAGCCCAAGTGTTCGAGGGCTACATCCTCGGTTGTTGAGGCATTGAATGCCTCTTTCGTTGTCATTATGTCGGGCGGAGTGACTGCAGACCATGTTGAGTGGCTATAGGGGGAATATAAGCTGCAATGTCGAGGTGTTATCTTGTCGTTGCTGATCGAGATAACATCACATCGGAAACACCGACCTTGTTCCGTCTACGAAGTCTTGAGTCACGTTACGTTTTTTGTTGCACGATGTTTGCTACTTTCTTTACTTCGCTTTTTACTTCTCACTTTTAATCTCCTTTTCATCTCTTTTTGCCCATTTTCCAAAACCAAAAACGAAGAGAATTCCCACTCTTAACTATAGACCCCGCGGTACACATCCCTTCGGCCCACCCGAAACGCGATAGGTAAGATGCTTCCGATTTGCCAACAAGAAATGGCTTAAATACCAAAACGCCAGACAGAAACTCTGCACGGCAACATGGCCTTAATATCCATCCCGACCATTGCACCATGGCTACTATCACTCGTAACAGCCAGCCTGGTGTGCAAGTGGGTTTACCGCCTCTATTACCACCCCTTGTCCCGCACTCCAGGCCCGAAGATCGCAGCCTGCACTTCCCTCTGGCTGGCATACCACACCTACATCGGCGACGAATGCACGGTAGTCTTCAATCTACACCGTAAATACGGTCCAGTGCTACGCGTCGCGCCAAATGATGTCGATATCGCCGGTGCAGACGCTATCGAGCCGATATACATCTCCCGCGGTGGATTTCCTAAGGCGCGGGCTTACTCGAAATTCGATATCGATGGCCACACTACTATTTTCTCTACGTTGACGCTCCCTGAGCGTGCCACTAGAGCCAAGGCTGTTGCGCCACTTTTTTCGACTGCTTCACTGAGACAGTCGGAGAAGGACTTGTCGAAGGTTTTTGATGATTTTGTAGGACGACTAAGACGGGAGGCTGAGAAGGGTGGCCCTGTTAATGTGCTTAATATTTCGCGCTGTATGGCTATTGATGCTGTGAGTACTTATCTGTTTCAGCATCGCTATGGGGCTCTTAATGAGGAGTCTGGAGTGATGTCAGCGTCACCTTTTGTGGATGCATTTGTTGGCGTTGGGGCGTTCTTCAATCTGACTCCAGGGAGGATGACGGATTTTGTCATGGCAGTTGCTGAGAAGTTCATGTCAACTGAAACCACCGAGAGAGCATTCAGTCTTATGGACAAGTTCACTGGGCAACTTGTCAAAGGTGCGGCGCTTGCGAAAGGTACAATGCCTAAAAGTGGAAGCTATCAGAGCCGCCTATTGGGAAAGCAGTCATTTTCGCAGTGTCAGATTGAGGTGAAAGATGTTTGCTTTGCTGGGACGGACTCGACCAGCATGAATACTGCTACCATATTGTGGTTTCTTGCAAAGAACCCTGAAATGTAAGACCAACGCAGTGAATAACGATCTAACACATCATAACTCACATAGTTATTTAGATATAACCGACTCCGCTCGGAAGTCCAGAACACAGCCGCAAAGGGGGAGGATCCTGCATCCAGCAGCTATCTTCGGGGAACTATTCGGGAAGGACTACGTCTATCCTGGGCCAATCCTATTAGACTGCCACGAGAAGTCCCCAACGGGGGATGGAAATATCACCAATACTACTTCCCAGCTGGGACGAATGTCGGTGTATCTTCTTTCCAGCTGCATCAAGACGAAGATGTTTTCCCAGAGCCGTTGCGATTTACGCCTGAACGCTGGCTGGAACCGACCAATGAGATGTTAAATCACTTTTTTGCATTTGGAAAAGGTAGTAGGGGGTGTATTGCGCAGAATTTGGGGACTTTGGAGTTGACCATGGCAATCCTCAAGATTGTGGAGGCGGACTTGCTTCGTGGGTCGAGCATTGTTGGCAACGACGCTATTCGACTCAAGGAGTGGTTTAATTCTCGGGTTGAAGGGGAGCAGATTCTGATTCAGTTTAGCAATCAAATCTAGATTCCCCGTAGCTGATTGTCTACAACTGGGTCATAAATGTGTATACAGTGCCCCCACGTATTGGACAGTCTCTACATGAAAAGCCTCGAAGCAAGTATACCGGTTAAAGTTAGTGCATTGTTTTCGCCTTACTTTGGCCTCTCTTTTTTGCACCTCTTTTTTGCACCTCTTTTTTGCCTATTTTCAGGTGTCTCGGGTTATAGTTGTTTATAACTAAACTTAGTAGGTTAAACATATAGAATATGTAAAAGTGGAGGTGAAAGGACTTTAGTAAAGTATTTCCTTCTAGAAAATTGGCCATAAATCCTAGTATCGTCAAATCCGAATGTGCCTTAGTTTATATATAGAAGGAAAAAGAGAAGGCAACGCTTTATATATATATATATATATAAAAAAAGTGGGACGAGCCGGGATCGAACCAGCGACCTTGCGAAGACAGAAGTAACTTCAGTCGCACGCTCTCCCAACTGAGCTATCGTCCCATTATGTAAGAATCGCCTCGAAGTCTTGCTACAGTAAAATGATTCTCCCAAAAATAAATAAACTTGCTAATTCTAGCTAATGTATTTCCCATGCGAGCCGCCCACCCAAGCGAGCCGCCCACCCCAAAACACCATAGTAAATGCGATAAATTACAGCTTTATATCTCAACAACCATGGCCTATAGGTATTTTTCATTTTAGTAGAATGTTTTTTAGGTGATGTCTAGCCTCTTTAGGGAGCTTGGAGAATTTCTACGTCTTCATGATCGAGATATATATATTTGTAGCTCATGGCTGTGTAATTTTCAGTAATTTCTGAAATGATGATAATATAGCTTTTTGATTCCCTTGAAATTGAAACATAGTGCTAATAAGTCTTATCAATAGCTATTAGTAAGTAATGAAATATAATTAAGACGTGGTTGTTGAGATAAAAGTGTAGAATATATCGCGTTTACTATGGTGTTTTGGGGTAGCGGCTCGCATAGGAAATACGTTATCTATAGTAACATCTAGAAAAGGATATTAGTAGTAATACCTTCTTCATAAGTACATTACATAAGAAGGACCGTTTAGTCTTAAATTAAAATATTAAAATAAATGAATACTTAGTCTATATAGAGACTGAAAAAATTTATATAGCCATTATTCGGAATTTGAAAAAGAAAAAGAAAATGGGATGAGCCGGGATCGAACCAGCGACCTTGCGAAGACAGAAGTAACTTCAGTCGCACGCTCTCCCAACTGAGCTATCGTCCCATTGGGTGATAGTTTAGTAGCAATGAAAATATAAGTACATAGGAAGGACTGTTTGTTACATTTAAAAAAAATTAAATAAATGAAACTTTGTTTATATAGAGAACAAAAGAATTTAACTTCATGGGAGGGGTTCAGAAAAGTTTATATAGCATTTATTCAAAATTTAGTAAAACTTTTAAAAAATTGGGACGAGCCGGGATCGAACCAGCGACCTTGCGAAGACAGAAGTAACTTCAGTCGCACGCTCTCCCAACTGAGCTATCGTCCCATTGGGTGATAGTCTAGTATCAAAGCAATGAATTTATAAGTACATAGGAAGGACTGTTTGTTAAAATAAAAAAAAAATAAATAAATGGAACTTGGTTTATAGCCGTGTCACGGGACAACCCCCCACCCTCTCGGGTAGGGGGTGTCCCTCAGCCATAATGCAATTCTCAGCCATAATGCAAATTTCGTACTTTTTCAACTTTACGCGAATTTTTACCCACCAAAAAATGCCAAAAAAAGCTCATGATGAAGAGGCTCTGCTAGCTAAGGCATTAGATGCTTATGAATCGCAAGAATTTTCATCCCTACGTAAGGCTGCGGACCATTATCGCGTGTCTTATTCGAAGCTTCGCGGTCGCAAAAACGGGAAGACATCTCTCTCCGATCCTACCACTAATAATGCATTGAATCTAAATCAGGAAAATGTATTAATTAGCTAGATCGAAGTGCTAAATTCTTGCTATATACCTCTAAGCGCAAAAGATATTGAAAGTGCTGCAAATCGCCTATTGAAAATAGTAGGTTCGGAGAGAGTTGTCGGTCCAATATATAGCTATCGGTTTATAGACCGTCTACCTCTATATATCAAGCTTGTTACCCAAAAACCGAAGGAAACTTTACGAATTAAAGCCGAGGATCCTAGAGTTATTAGCCATTGGTATAATAGGCTTGCTTATCTCTATCGTGAGCATGATTTCGAACCACAGAAGATCTATAATTAGGATGAAACTGGCTTCCAAAATAGCGAAGGACTTAACTAACACGTTGTCTCTACGCGTTAAACTGCTAGTATTGCTACTAGAGATTGAGGTGAAACTATTACCGGTATTAAATGCGTCGCCGCTAATGGCTAGGTGATGTTTCCGTGGTTTCTAGTCAAAGGAAGCGTCTATATAGAAGACTAGTATAGCAATATATTAACCTCTTCTTCGGCGTATAAAATTATCTATTTAACGTCTAGTGGCTAGATAGATCGTGAGACTACCTACCGATAGCTCTGCTCGTTTTATAAAGCTATAAAAAACCGCGTACGACGCGGGCGACTAAGGCTTTTGCTAATAGACAATTATATATTATATATAACTATCGAATTTCTCGATTTTTGTAAGGAAAACTTGATTATTCCTTAGTATTTTATGCCTCACACGACTTATCTATATTAGCCGCTTGATGCTGAGGCTTTTTAAGCCTAAAGTATCATTTTAAAATAGCGAATACTGAAGTTGTAGCGTGGGGTGGAAGCAATAAAAAACGCGACTTTTTCCGTAACATTAATGCCGTCTAACGCTCCGCCCTAAGGTCCCAAACTATCAAAACTTCGTTTAAATCTACTAGTATTTAGCCACCAGATCCTAAACAAGTTTTAGATCGTTTAGGATAGGATTCGGACGGAGAGACGTTACGTATATATAACGAGCCGTCACTATCACCCGCCCGCGAATTCCCAAGTTTAGCGACTAATTCTCCGCCCAATTCTTATGCGCGTATTAAGAAATTGGAGGATACGGTTTTCCCATTACTTAATAACCCTACTTCTAATCTACGAAAAATTCGGAAGCATATACGGCGCGCAATTAATGCCGGAAAATCGTCTCTATATAATACGGAACTTGTAGAGATAAGCCTTACGCGCGCCTTTAGCCACAAACGCCTAGAAAAAAGTCAAAAAGCAAGCGATAGGTAAAGGGAGCTACGAAAAGCCCTCTGTCATCAATTTTAGGAAATAGGCTAGTATAGCGAAGGTGTAAGAAAGAAGATAAATCGAAGCTTCGTGCTTAGCGGAAAGACGCAGAGAAAATAGCGGCCGATTTGGCGGCTAAGGAATTGGAGGAAACAGCTGAAAATGAGGAGGATAATACATTATTGGCTAATAAAGCTATTGATAGGCTTTATTTCATGGATCCTAGACCTTATACGCCTAGAAAATGAGCTAGAAGTTGAATAAATTGAAAATTTGCACCGCGAGGGTGGGGGGCGGTCCTATGAAACGGCTATAGAGAACAAAGGAATTTAACTTCATGGGAGGGGTTCAAAATAGTTTATATAGCATTTATTCAAAATTTAAAATTAAAAAAACTTCTAAAAAAGTGGGACGAGCCGGGATCGAACCAGCGACCTTGCGAAGACAGAAGTAACTTCAGTCGCACGCTCTCCCAACTGAGCTATCGTCCCATTGGGTGATAATTCCCCGAATCTTTCACATCACAACTCCAGTACGTATTATACGTAAAAAAGTAGGCATTCACAGCTCAAGCTAGGGCTCAGTGGCTGTGAGACAGATCCCATGTGATTCTTAATTCACTATTATTATCCACTGGTAGCCGTATATTACCGTCGTTAATATTGGAAAATTCAAGTGTACTCCCAGCTTTGGCCAAGGATTTAAGCACGGTACGAGCTTTTGAATACAGAAGCAGTGTACTGGTAACATAGGAGCGAAAAAACGCAGGAACAACGATAAAATAGGTTCGGTCATAATAAGCAAGTGGAAGCGCCATGAACATATGACGTTTCATGTACCCATTACAGGGCCAAATGCACTGTGATCTTTACGCAATTTCTCTCACGGGTCTCGTGTTATATATGGGATTCATACGCAAATAGTGAATATCCCCGAGAACTCCTTTAACTACAGACCCGGCACCTAGGGTGACAATCCGTATAGCATATTCCGGAGCTCACAGCACAGGGCATTTAAACGCAAGAATGGAAAGCTGGGGGAACCCATTCCTAGACGTGCACCCATGTGATAGGAATGCATTAACGATTTAGACGTTGTTTCAGCTTGCAAGTCGTTACATGTCTATATTTATTGCGGGAGAACTCCTACTGATCAGGAGATGTATTCATTTATGGCAGGAATGATTTTCATGGAATTTGAATTCTTCCTAACTTGCGCAGCTCGCTACCACTCTTGGCAAAGCCATCAATTCCTGCAAGTCAACTTGAGCATTATGGAGAACCTGAAGAGCATACTCAGTATGAAGCAATGAAAAATAGAGCACATATCCTCCTACCAATGTGGCTAGATTGTTTGTTATAAGCCACTCAAAGCTCTTTTGGCAGTTTTCAAATCTTCGAATCTCTCTTGGTATGTCCTGGGTATTTTCTTGGGTTCCCCGGTTGGCTCAAGGTTGAATATGATTTGAGGGAGCTTGGGATAATTGGCCAAGTCACAGCGTGCGTCCACAAATCCTTGGTGAATTTTGCGTAGGGCCTTCATAAGCATCATAGGGATCTTTTTGTCCATAGGCTCAAAGTAATGATCCTTGGTCTTCCCATCACAATCACATTTCAGTCGAGGTTGGACAAGGCGAGGAGGTGAGTGTAGCGTCCACTCTGGCGTGTTGTAGTCCCTTTCGAGCCCACACTCTGTTTTTTGACCACCTTGAATAGAACCTCTGCCGCGTACACGAACTGACTCGGCACAGCCCTCCAGGTCCTTACCTGTGCGGCAAAAGGGAGCTTTCCAATTTGATTTGCGACGTGCCGTCTGGTCAATAGCCCTCGTTTCCATGCGGGTATGGCCCTGTATCGCGCGGTTGGCAGGGACGAGACCTGGCTTTCCTTTGCAACCCTCTTGCCCACAGCCATTGCCGCCTTTCTGGGCAATCTGAACAACCTCAGTAATGTAAATGTCTGGTGAATCCGCAGTAAAGAAAGGGAAAGCATCGTCTAGTACAGGTATTTGGCAACCGCTGCATTTGAGACGAACTACTTTGCCGGGTTCTCCCGGCACGGCTTTGGCTTGCTTGCATCGCGATTCGGCTCGGGTAATCTTCCTGATGTACAGCATTCCGACCCTGCGGGCAAGGTATTCAGCCGAGAATTGCTTGAAGGGCAATGTACGGCCTCTATCAAGGAGAATGAATGCCGACTCTAGTGTCTCTCGGTTTGTTAATGATACACCATGAATCTTGAGACCATCTTGAGATCGGAGCCATAGTCGGAGTGTAGTTGGAATATTCGCAAAGTCGAGCACTCCGGCCTCGACGTAATCATCACACTCTTCCTCAAGGCAAACAATCGGCCAACCAGTCTTTAGCCTCTCGAAAAACGCCCCCGACCGTGGGGTATTGAGAAGATCCGTTGGAAGCACTATCCGATACCATCTCATCCCAAGCCTCAGCCCAAGACCCAGCCCAAAACCCATCTCCCAGAGTCGGCGGATCCCCAATGCGACCAGGAAATTTATTCGTCATACCACCCGTACTCGTCGCCACGGCCAGATTCCCCCATCCAAACAAACACAGCCCACAGTCCCCTGGCTCATAGAAATAGGTTCAGCTTCATCCTTCAACCCACGTATATGCTCATCCCGTGCCCTCGCGCTTTAATGCTGCTTGTTGGCTGTCCTCGGGCTCTCAGTTCTGCTCGTATAACACCTAGTTTTTGTATCGATATACTGATTCGCCGCTGCTTAGATGGCGACCCCTTCCGGGATCGATTGGTTGTTTTCGAGGACCTCCGGCTGTAGCGCTAGGCACCGAGAAGCTCGAGGAGTGCGTCAATATTATACCTGCGGAACATGGCCGATGGTATCCCTGCACGCGCTCCTGAAACATTTTATTTGTCGCTCCGTTGGTCAGGGCCCCTAACAGAAGCTTGCATTTCTGCGAGTTTAAAAGCAGTTTCCTTTTGCTGGCACGGAGTATGAAGATGCCGAGGACCGCCAGGCTCAAGTCGTTGAACCCTATGATTTTTGAGAGCTTATCACTCTCAAGGCTATTAACGAACGGGGCTGTGGTGTTGTACCTAAGCTACCGGGAAGTTAGATTATGAGGCATAGCATGACTGCCAGCGTTTCCACTTGGGATGATAGAACTTACGTCAGGTTCGCTCTGGTGCGAACAACCACGGCCAGTGATCAGTACTTTCCCATCATGATCACAGATCCGTATTTAGATGACAAAGGTTGGAGATGGTGAACTGAAGTTTTACGATAGTAGTACGTACTACGCTGGATAAGTATTTGCTAGTCGCTATTTCCAGCTGATTTAGCCAGAATTAAAGCATTTGTGCTTCACATTCGACAACGTGATATCATTAGATTTAGATACTAAGCAGCTGAACCTTTTCGACATAGTTCTCCAACCCAAGGAAAAGCAGCTGGAGTGAATGTAGGCACGGATAGTCAAACCCTCCAGGTGATGGGCCTTATCAAATTACTCGTTTCCACCCAACAGCCAACAAAAAAGTTCAAATCCCATCAGGGCTTCGAAAGTTGCTCCCGCCGGAAGAAAAGAAGAAAGCCGCCACTGCAGGTAACAAGATGTCAGCAAGAGAAGCCAATTTATCTCTCAAGTAGGAAGACGTACCATATCAAAAGCTGTAACAAAAGCGCAATCCAAAACCAAGCGTTCGCCAACGCCCCCACCCCAGCAGTAATATCGGGGGATATAGGCCCAGGACCAATGTTATTCGGCGCAAACGACCGAGCACACATAGTTGCAATGGAACCAATAACCTGCGACACAAGAAGAGTGAAGCAGATATGCATGCGCGTCAGTGTTTGCAGGAGAATCATGCCAAATCCGAGACCTTGCAGTGCATCCAGGACGCCAAGCCAGAGCCATAAACTGCGCGAGACCAATGCACCTGAAGTATAGCTACCGGCCCAGGGGAGGAATAGGCCTGATGAAGATGTTCCCCACCATATCTGTGCCCAACGTGGTGCTCCTAGACCGCAAGCTACCACCGGGAGGATCCAGCTGTGGGATTTGGATAGTCTGGCTAGGAGAAAAAAGATTGCTATCCAGACAAAACCAAAGAACAATACGCAGAGGAGGAGGATTTGCCAGGAACTGGCGTGGTTGGATATCCAGAGAACTAAGCCGAGGTTAGTGGACTGTATGGCTAATTCTCGGAAAAAGGGATGTGGTGTTTCTACTTTCATGGGAACTCACAATTCCAGTTTCGACCGTATGGGGCACTGAGGAAGAAGTTCTGGAGAACCACGACAACCCAGTTCCAGAGTACAATCTTGCGTCGGAAGACGGATTTGTAGAATGATGGAACTTTGCCTGGTGTTTGGCGGTAGTAATTTGGCAGTCCGAAGTAGATGAGCAGGCCAATACTCCACAAGAATATCATGATGGGCGTGCAGATAGCTCTAGGATGTGTGTTAGCAGTAATTCAAATTTGACAGTCAAGTGCATATGATACGCACGTCATTACCCAGGTGTTGGTGATACTGCTTTGAGAATTAGTGTTACCAGCACTGCTCGCTTTCGTCAAAGTCGAGCCCCAGTACCAAAGAGCAATAACATATGCCTGCTGCGTGCCTTGAATCAGACAAGCCCGGAACACCCACTGCTTGACAGGGGCACCGCTCTCATCGCCGAAATTGAGAGCGAAGAATATAGAGCCACTGGAAGAAGCGGCGGCATAGATTCCACTTCCGACATTCTGGATCCACCCGCGGACGTATGCATCAGGCTCGAAATGTGCCATGCCGATGATCATGAATGCAGTTCCGTATAGGAACCATGGCACTGTCAGGACAAGCACTGATTTGCAGAAGCGGAAGAAGAACCACCACAAAATCGAGGTGATCAAGTACACGGACGCGATTCCATATAATTTTGCGGCGGTTTGGCCCACCTCTCCGGTCAGAAGCGTGATCTGGTAGGAATTGGCTGCGATGATCTGGCCCAGTCCCAGGAAGAGAGAATACACAGGCCATTCCCCGAGACGCATTTGCATCCACTTCTTCAGGCCTGTCGGGGGAACATAGTTATCACCAAGCATGAATTCATCCAGTGGGCCGTCTTTCCTCTCGGGCACAACACTATCGTGAGACGTTGCGTCGTCATTAGTAATAGATCCCGTCGGAGAATCTCCTTTGCCAAGGTGCATTGAACCAGTTGGAGATCCTTGATTGCGGCCTAGGCGTGCATCGCGGAATTTGTTGAACCACTTCTTCTCACTCTTTTCAAGATATTGCTCAATGCAGAGTTGATTGTCGGAGTTGGCTCCATTCAGTTCCTCGAGCCTCTTTTCGAACTCTTTGTAGTATTCGCCGTTGCTATCCGTGAAGAATGGATCAACTTTTTGGAGTTTGAAATCTTTCTTCTCTCCAACAACTGAATCAACAGACAGGGCCGATGAGCTGCTCAACCGACTTCCCGGCCCTGCCCATGGACGCGATGGTGGAATAAGAGTATCATCTGTTTCTGCTGTACTGGGAGCTGTCGAGCTCGACGGTGTGTTGCTAGATCGAGCCAAGTGGCGTGCCGAGAGAGCCTCCTTGGTGAAGGCAATACCAGGCGATTGAGGATTCTGCGCACGTGCTGCATCCACTCCGTCAGGCAATACGGGATAATCATCATCTCCATAGCAAGTTGCCATTAGCTCTTCATCGCTATCCTCTTCGGCTTCAGGGGACGCCTTGCCGGTGCTGTCATCACCCTCAACAATACTTCCCTTCCCGAGATCGCGTCTGCCTCGAGGTTCCGTACTACTTGAAATTGGTCGAATACCAAAAGGCACCTGGCGACTGAGTCCTGATCTAGGTCTGGAATCGGCGCCAGGACTTGGGTCCCGACTGTAGATGATGGAGCTTCGCTGCAGTGATCCCATTGTTCCTGGGCGACTCGATGGTTGCATTGGAGGAGTTGATGCACCCGACCTTGTCGATGCAGCCTGTGGAGTCATCATTCCGTAGATGGCGTTGTATGCACCCGCCGCAGTAGACAGATTCTGAGCTTTGGCGTGTTCCTTATCATGGACTCGAATGGATGTTGACTGAAGAATCTCTAAATCCTCGACCCACTGGGCAACGGGGAAACGCTGTTTGGCGGACCTTGCGCGCATCATTGCTCTCACTTCGGATTTGGAATTCAAGGCGCTGTCAATGGCGAGCTTGAACTGCTTTAACAAATGTGAGGTGGTTGTAGATTCGACTGTATACCACCACCCTGGCATCTGTCCAAGCCCGCCTACCCTGGCGCCAATGCCGAGGGCACCTTTCCTTCCAAATTCAACTGCGACTAGGCCAAAGGGTTCGTCTCGTGAAGGAATCAGTGCGAACTCCGCACCCGAGAAGATAAATGGTGGCAGGACCGTGAATTGAGGTTTGGAGCATACCCTGCTAGGATACAGCTTCATCATTCGGGCCAGCTTCAATGCAGCGAACTTGCCATATAAGTCAATCAGAGGCCCGACGCAAATTAGTTGAACGTTTGGTCGCGCCTCCAAGACACTGGGTAGCACGTCGGCGATAAGGTCGATTCCTTTTTGCATGGACCATCTTCCAACGAAGACCAATAAATCGGCATTGGGCTTCTGCTCAAGACCAGCCCACTCTTGAGCCTGGCGCTTGAGCTCTGCTCTGCGAGCCTCATAATCATTGTCGACATTGATGTCACTTTCTTTTGGCAATTCTCGATTCCACTCACCGGTGTCGGAAGGGTCAGGATTCGGAAGGTTTCCAACTTTTCTCAAGCCCCAGAAAATCGGGTAGCGAGCGTAAGAGCGTTTGCCGTATTTTTTTGAGACACCCACTGCCCCAAAGCCTTGCTGATGAAGACGAAGATAGCTTGCACCGGCATGCAAAAGGTTAAAGACCTCGCCGAACTGAACATAGCGCGTGGCAACGTCCAGATCTAGATTGAATACCGAGCACACTTCGGTCTTCTCCTTCTGTGTCCGCATAGGCCATAAGCCCTGGAATTCGGCATTGTGGAGTGACAAGCAAATCGGGATAGTCTCGGGTAGCAGATACAAAGGAGCGACTGAGCCGTGATAATCATTGATGTGATACAGTTCAACGGGGAACCGCTCCATCGTTTGCGCTATGCACTGATTCCAGGCCGAATAATAGATGGCGCTATCGAGGTCATCCATACGGGCCGGGTAGGGCTCTGTAGCAGACTGTTGTCGGAAGACAGGGGCATCCAGGAGAACGTAGGTGATGTTCCTCAATTGATGATATTGAATCTTGATCTCGTAGGAATTTCCCAAAATCATGACGAACATTGATTCGGCCGGTTTATCTACAGGGTAGTCCACTCCGCCGACACATGGAATGACCCAGATAAGGTCTTGGTGGCCAAGTTGCTTGCCCATTAGCTGTGCCATAACCCCCAAGCCACCGATCTTGATCTTGATGGCCCAGTCGTCGATGTCGTATTCCATTGTGGCAATGAGAACCTTCCGTCGATGATATGTTCGTTTGCCAAAAGCCGAGCTACTCTGAAGGAAATTTGACTTGTTGGCAAGGCGTACTAAAGGGTTACTGGATTTGCCACTTTCCATAGGTGGAATCTTGAATCTGCTGACGAAATCCATGGAGATGAGTGTCTTCTTCTCACTCACGCCGACCTGGTTGAACTTAATTCGGTAGAAAGTCTTCATGAAAACGTAGGCGCAGGTGGATGCTGTGACCACAGGAACAATCCATAGCAAGAAGAAAAGAGCCATTTGGGCGTACTTGGAGCCTGCAGGAACAAGCTTGAATTGCAAGTTCGAGTCATCCAGGTGGATTCTCCAAGCGAGGTGCGGACTAGGGGGATGATCAGTGATATTTATGCTGGTCACACTCAGCGAAGAGGGTGGGAGACGATCGAGGACTGAGTCACCATCGGAATCACCATAGATGTAGCTTTGATCTGGCTGGCCATCGGGGTTGATGCCCCACACGTTCAACTGGCCCTGAGCAGGCCACTCAGCCATGAAGCGGAACTTCCAGATGCCATCTTCATCTTGCCTCACAACGTTGTCCAGACCGGCATCGTACCCGTATTCATTGAACGGGCCATTGAAGAATAGATGGGGGAATCGACGTCGGATAGTAGGATTCCAGCCCGGGCCGTCACCCTCTTGAACGTAATCGCTGCTACCGGTTAAACGACTCCAATACTCGACGCGGACGTGTTTGCCTTCCCATCTCTGCTTCTTTGTTCCAGACCAAGGCAGTTCCTCGATTGTGTGATTTCCTCCCTCATATGGCAGCCATTTGGAAAAGGTGCTGCCCCAGTTGGTTGAGTATCGGTATTTGTCGGCCCCGGCTGCGTGTTGTCTGATGAAGATGGTACCATTTTTACGTTCATGGAGGAGGCTGCGAGAGTAGTTTGCGGAACCAAATATCATGGGATTGTCTTGTTGTCCGATTCGAACTAGGAAATGATCGACAGCATTGGTTGTTCTTCCATCGGTAGTTGTGGCATTGTTGACGGTTAGACGATGTATACCGTTGTAGACGCCAGTCAGGGTAGCTCTCCAAGCCCAGATATATGGGATTTGGCCAGTCCAAGTAATACTCTCGGCCTCCAATGTTTCACAAGTGACACTGTCAAGGTCCAAGGAAGGGATATTCCCAGTTTCAGTCTTCGACTCCAACGATATTGAGTCGGTCACCATAGTACAATTCATCTCGGCGTTGAAAAAGAGGCTGACTTCCATCGACTCACTTTCTCCGGGAGATACTGCGGATAGCAAGGGGACATCATGGCCTGGCAAGAACTTGGTGATCATAGGACGAGGAGACAGGAATTTCTCTTTCGGGATGTAGGCCCTAAACTCGTAAGGCTTCATGGTCATCACATCGATACAACCATTATATTCGCTAGTACCATACAGACCGAGCTTAATCGGGCTCTCTTGGAGAGTGATCTCATCATGTGGGTAGAAGAGATTCTTGACTGTGGTGTTGACATCAAAGGGAGCGACGAGGGCAGCATTTTGATCGGAGCAATCGAACTCATAGTCCACTGTGCGATTGCTGTTCTGGTAGACAAGCCATACAGTCTGGTTTCCCATCTCTCCTAGGTCTTGCATCTGATAATATGGACTGCGTAAAACAGACCACATTCCAGTTTCAGTGGGCACCCCGTTTGATCCGGGAAGATATATTTTGTGGGTTTGGTTGGAAAGCAATTGAACCCACCATCCATCATTCAATGCGGCAAAGTCCTGTCGCATCTGATACATGTGTTTGATGATATTTCGTACAGGGTGAGACGGGTCGCGATGATCATACGTGACTGTCTCATCGGTACAGCCTAATCGCCCGGATTTGATGGGCCACTGGAAATATTGAGTGGAATTCAACTGGAAACATCCGTGGGTTCTCCAGGCAGTGGCAGGTGACATAGCTTGACGACCGTAGATATAGTTGACGGCTGAAGCATCTAAAACGTAAAATGCTTGTTCTTCTCCCCATAGAAGCAACGGAATGCCCGGCATGTGCAATGTGGTAATGAACAGGGCCAAAAGTTGTCGTTCAACGCCGTATTCCACCGCTGGCCACCGGAACACATCTTGATTCGTGGCTCCGTACATATGGCGAGGATCAAACTTGCCGGTGTTGGCATTGATCATATCATTGGTGAGGACCATCTGATACCAGGCCTCAGTCCAGTTGACTGGAACATCGTAGCCGGCAGCCAAATTGCCGTCCATACCAAGGAAACGGGTGAGAGATCGATAGACTGAATAGTGAAATGCTGCTGCATCGATGGCCTGCTGATTCTGATCGCGAATGAAGTACGCCGGATCGGAGGAATTTGTCATTTTGAATGCCTCTTCTAGGGTCTCCGGTTGCATATCAGGTTGTCGGCCTCGACCGTGGAAAATAGAGCCAAGTGTGTTGCCACTCGTCACTTCACCGGGGAGGAAGAAATTGTTCTTTCCTACGCGACGAGCGCAATCTCGATACGCGCCAGATATATCCCCCAAAGCGTCTATAGTAGCTTGTGTGGCTTTGTCGTACCGGAATCCATCAATGTCAAAGGAGGCGATGATCATACATGAATGGCGAACGAGTCTCTCTCTGACACTAGGAACCCACTCGCGTAATCGGTCTTGAACCGATGCAAATTTGGCCAATTCTCGCTGCCAGTCAGGGTACACACCGAAAGCCTCGATGTCACCGTACTGATCGAAATCACTATCGTAGCAACCGCCGAGCTCATCACGAACGTATTGGTCCACGGGGTATCCGGTTTCGTTCCAAAAGCGAGGATAGTCACAGCTCTCGTTATACGAGTTGCCATAGCTGAAATCCACATAGTGACGGTCTGACTTCCAATATGCTTTGTGCTCCCGCATGGAAAAAGGTGTGGTTGTGTTCATGTAGCCTTCAAAACCAATGAGATCGCCCATCCTGCGGACTGTGAGCTAATATTCCATAAAGTGAAGATTTATCTTGGGCCTAGTACTTACGTGGCAACAGTATTGTCAAAAATGACATACATCCCACGGCTGTGGATTTCCGTAATGGCATTCCTCCATGTTTCAACCGTTCCAAAGTGTTGGTCCAAGAGCGTGGTGTCAAGTGCTGAGTAGCCATCTGAGCCCCATGGCTGATTCATCAAAACCAGACCTGCAAGGTAGATGCCCTATAGGGGATGAATTAGCTGAATGAGAAGGCGTAGTCAAGGATGGATGAAACCAACTTTGATGCCCATTCCTTGTAAATAGTCCAGAGTATCCAGTAGACCGGCAACATCACCGCCATGTCGCATTTGATTCGAGCTAATATCATGTTCAAAGAGGGTCTCATTAATATTATCGTTTGTTGGATCACCATTCACAAATCGATCGAGGAAAAGCGTATATACAGGAAAACGCCAATTATCCGGCGAGGGGAAGTAGGTGTGGTCGGGCCATTCTCCCCAGTAGTCTAGAGGATCACTTGCTGTTTGATTTTCATTAATATTATAATCCGTGAGAGATTCGTCGTATGGCCAGCTGATCCCCGGGACTGCGAACAGAGCAGCCGCGGTGATTGTACGTTTCCAATACATGATGAAAACTCAAGGGAAGGACCTCTTAAGAGACTCGATTTCGCAGCATATGTCAAGACAGAAAGAAAGAAGCGCAATAAGGGCTATTGACCCAAGCGGTTATTCAAAAAGGAATACCTATGTGTGACCATTTCATGTTAGTTCTTCAGTACCTCAAAGAGATGGTGCCATGTATCAAGACCCAGGCAGGGAAAAGCAGGAGTTTAGAAAGCAACAGGGAACAGATAGGTCTACTAACGGAGAGTGGATGCCAACAGTTTGCGTATCGGAAGGCTGCAGAAGTCCTTGGCAGGGTATATGGGTAGTGAGAAACGAGACTTAGTGACGAGGGACCTCGGGCACTCTAAGCAGAGTAGAATCGGATCACAGGCCCTCCAGTCTATGGAAGCTCTTTTAGGGTGAAAGGGGAAGAGAAACGGAAAGCATAAGAACTGCGGTGTGGCTAATAAAAACAAAAGGAATCAAACCACCGAGAAAAGAGGAACTTTCTTGATTATGGATGAAACTTTCAGCATACTTCAGAAAGGACCTGATACCCCGAAATCTGCCCTCGCACAAAGTATTATGAGGTTTATTCTTGTTCATCGCCGCAAATTGAGGCAAATAGACACTTTTCCCTGAATCCGGAATCAACGGTGAGAAGCGAGAAGACAGCTGATAGGAGACGTGAATAGTGGAGTACACATTGACCTTTCAGCGTTTTGATTTACATCTTTGTTACTCGTGCGTGCTATTTTGAGAGACCGTGAGGCTCAGACGGCGAAGTTCCCTGTCTTACGAGGAGACGCCATCGTCGTGAGATTCCAGCAAACCCTATAGCTCTCTGCGGGGCAACTGGAATGGCCGTGCTCAACATTGCTAATCAAGCAATCCATGCATTGCATGTATCACAATGTCCTGGGAGACTAGACCATGGGTGGCGTCAGAGCAATGGTAGGTGAGATGTCTGAGGCGAAATATGCATCGTTAATCTTATATCGGTCCGATTGGAACATCGACTATAAACAAAGGCGAATACCTCTGCATGCCGACAACCTTCGGCGGTTATATCGCCGAAAACTCTACCGTCCATCTTCGACCTTTCTCGACTCGGCCTCGACCATCGCCTCAGAATCCTAGAGCATGCCAGAAAACATAGTTGCAACAGAATGTCGTCAAACACGAAATAACTTTAAACCCTTGTTCTTCGCATAAAGGAGCAGGTTATCTGGATGATCAATGCATGTCAAGATAACAGATTTATTTCCTGTTTGGGATATGTACCGTTGACTCAAGTTGTCATCTAGGCTGCGTCCGCGCCGGAATCCATGAAGCTATGGAGTACATATTCATGGTCCGAATTTTATGTACCGTACAATATCCGTATCTACAGACACTTCGTATTCACATTTGCTGCACGCAAGATTTCAACCTGGACGAGACAGCTGAGTCACTGTGACGGCTATCAAAGTAACTTGCAGTGTCCTATGACTTCTTAGACCACCGGCACATTGTTGTTAGTAAAGCGAGCGATCTAAACAGGAAATAGTGACTACATTAGTTGCATTCATCAAATGTAACCTGAGGTCCATCTTAGACACCGGGTTGACCAATGATAGCGTGGATATAGTGGCAATTTATAGGGCCAAGCAAGATCACATTTGGAGTATAAGTTATAGGTGACCTTTATCATTTCAGAAACGGCCATTAATACTGAGACATATTTGTCTTCCGTCAATGTATTCGAGTGTAAAGAACTTTGAGACAACATGGCCGAAATATAGTAGGAAGCAGCCTGATTGGACGCTAAAATGTGAGGTTAACTTAGGTATCATAGGCAGAAATATTGAGCCTGAATTTTCATGGCAAATATGTCAAGATTTCGTTGGGGGTGACGAGCCTTGCTTAGATTTGAGAATGGACTCAATTCAATCCAGCTGGTAGCTTGTTCCACTCTGTACCCCAGATATTTCAAGCCACGAGACTCCATTATGAGACTTCTATATATAAAGACACGACCTGTTGTGATCGGCCTGTAGTGTAGATATGAATGACGGCATCCAAAGTCTGAACTCGAGCTCAATAATATGTGCTAGCTGAAAGTGAGTTTTGGGTAATTATCAGAATGTTGACCCGTTTTCTGTCACTACTAGATACTACATACGGATCTGTCAATCGTAAGCGCGGGTGGGTGCCTTTAAGGGACCCAGAATATGTGGTTGGCGGACTTAATACTCATGTCACGCAGTTCGGATACATAACAATTGGCACTTGACAAGTATCCGTGCTTTGCAGGATCATGCCACAATAGCGCTTTAAATATTTACATCTATGTTCTATTCAAAGACTGAGTGCTATAGATTGAAATTACGTTATTGCGAAATTGAATCTTATTGATACCATTTGTATACTTCCGCCGATTGGAGTGCCATAAAAAAAAATCCATACAACCATAATATATCATATTAACAAGTGACAATACGCTAATTTACCAATAAAGGCTTTCAGCCCCGTTCTTAAGCTCTTCGTGGAACAGAAGCACCCACTGGGAGATCACCGGAGCCCGCCTTACATTGGAAAACGATGCCTAGAGAATGCAGATATCAGATCTCCAGCGTTGATCCTAGAAGCACCTAGATAAAGAACGACAAATTTTGAAGAGACTTCAGATTCACCTAGCACATTGTGCTTAAAGATCTATAAGTAACTAAAAGACGTTCTATCACAGTCTTTCGATAGATCTCAACCCTCCATCACAAAGTCATGACCATATGTGCGTGCCACCATGGGTATTGCGTCCATGTACCACCTTGTACTTGATCAAGTGATTGACTTTTTCAGATTCAAAGGTACAAACTGCCTGAGCGCAGCTACTGATCTCTACAATGCCCCCAAAGGTCCCCATTTCCACTGCAAGCGGTGCCTGTCCTGCCTTGGGGTGCTCTCTGTCAGACACAATCTATGACACGGATAACACCTGCTGTGTGGCTGTCGCTTGCCGCGCAACAACTCAATCGGTCTACAACGGGGCGTTTTCAGCCATTGGCTCATCATAATGCCCAAGCTGGCACGGTCGATCTCTTCGAGTTCATGTGAAACATTGTCTCGTGCACAGATATTCCGGCTTCCGAGTGCGACAACTCAGCCAGGGGTGTGAGATCTGAACATCTTAGATGACTTGGAGAATATAGTGAGAGTGAAGACACTGGATTGTCAATGAGTTCAGCTGCGTAGTTACGAGACGAAAGGATCCTATTAAAAGATCCATGTTCCCCGATTGGAACTTGAAGAATAGCTCTTCGGATTGAATATTGGTATCACCAGTTCGTCCAGGACTGACTATCGTTGGTAAATTCAAAGATGGCACGAGATGTCTCGCTTGCATATTGCGTTTTGATGTTGCTATCGCCACAGAAAAAGGAGTTCAAGTCTGTTAGGCAAAAGTTCTCCGGGATCTTAAAGAGACTGAATGTTTCTGTGTGCGAAGGCACAATGTTAAGACATGTTGAAGAAGTGAGCTATTGCTTGGAATGTGGCCATCACCCCAGTCGCTGGGCGACGTTCAATCAAATTTATGTTCATAGCAACTCCAAACTACCCTGGTATCCAAGTAATTTTGTTTTATCTTTGCTCATACATCATGCCGCCATGGGCGGATTTCACAAGCTTATATATCTATTGAGCACCGTAGCGCTCGCGGTAGTCCTTCAAGCGCTGGATCTCATCAGCACCAATTTTGTCACCGAGCTTCTCGATCAAGTCGTGCAGACCAAGGACTGAGCGGATGGGGATCTTGCCTCCAAGATCGCGCTGAGCAACACCGATGGCGCTCTTGGTCTCGGTGTCGCTGACACGCTCCTCACGGTCCAGCAAAACAACCACACCGGCGACGATACCGCCCTCCTTCTCGATGATACCGACGGCCTCACGCAGGGCAGTGCCGGCAGTGATGACATCGTCGACGATCACGACCCGCTTGCCCTTCAGCGGGGCACCGACGATATTTCCACCCTCGCCGTGGGCCTTGGCCTCCTTGCGGTTGAAGGAGTAGCTAACATTGTCCCAGGCGTTCTTGCCAGAGAGAGAGTCCCGCACGGCGAGCTCGTTGGTGACAGCGGCGCAGATGGGGATGCCCTTGTATGCGGGTCCGAAGATAATGTCGAAGTCGGCCTTCGTGTTGCCATCAGCGTCGGTGGTGACAAAAGGCTCAGCAGAGAGAACGCTAGCGTAGGCAGCGGAGGAGGCGCGCAGGAGAGGTGCGGTGTGCAGGAGGGAGGAGGTGAAGAAGTAGGGCGACTCGCGGCCGGACTTCAAAGTGTAGGAGCCGAACGAGAGGACATTGTTGGAGATGAGCAGGGGGAGGAGAGTGGACTTGTAGTCCTGATCGGCAGTAGGAGGAGGAACAGACGACATATTTGCTGTGTGGTTGTCGAGAAATCCGGGGAGAAATGAAGCAATTGTCAAGGTTCAAACTGCGAATCGGAGTTCAACTGATAACAGAAAATTTTCCCGAGAGAGGGGCAGGAGGGGCGGTGGCCAGGGAGTGTTCCCTCGCCAATGCTCTGTAGTCTGGTCAATTGGGGATTCATAGCTGATAGTAGACAGCTGTAGAGAAAAAGAGAGAGACTCAGAATGGTCTTTTCACCCTTCTCTTTGCTTATGTTGACCGTCGTCTCTCCAAGGGGCCAAAGACACGTGCTCCGATGGCCGGCCTTCCCCGCCAAATCGTCAAGGATCCGCTCACCGAATTTCTCCCTTCTTCATTCCTCGAGCTTCACTCTTCTTATTTCTTTCATTTGTGCTCTCACTTTCACTTTGCTACTTCGTTCTTTCTCTACCCTTGACTCGCGTGTTACCTCCACGCTAATCCGGTCCAGCTCTCGGACGTCTCATCTGCACAGCCGTGTGCTGGTTTCACAAACAATTTCATTATTTATCGCCCCAATCCTCGGTATGTCGGTTCCACCTCTAGCTATAGAGCATGGAAACTCTTCCCTTGATGTTTCCCCGGGGGTGTGCTGATAGAAATAGGTTAACTCGACACCATGCATATCCGGGAGAAGCTGGCCAAGAATGAGGCAGAGGGAAAGACGGGCATTTCCTTCGAATTCTTTCCTCCTAAGACCGCTCAGGGTGTACAGAACCTTTACGACCGGATGGACCGCATGCATGGTTTAGGTCCCTCCTTCATCGACATCACCTGGGGTGCCGGCGGTCGCTTATCGGATCTGACTTGCGAGATGGTCAATGTGGCACAATCGGTTTATGGTCTGGAGACATGCATGCACTTGACTTGCACGGATATGCCGATAGAAAAGGTCGACCAAGCACTCCAGGCTGCTTACAAGGCAGGCTGCACTAATATCCTGGCTCTTCGAGGAGACCCACCCCGTGACAAGGAAGTCTGGGAGGCCGCCGATAACGGCTTCCGCTACGCTAAGGATTTGGTCAGATACATCCGGGAGAAATATGGCAACCACTTCGACATTGGCGTCGGCGGCTACCCCGAGGGAGCTGATGACAACGCTGACGTCGAACAATTGATCGATCACTTGAAGGAAAAAGTGGATGCTGGCAGTACCTTCGTGGTTACCCAGATGTTCTACGATGTGAAGAACTTCATCGATTGGGTTAAGAGATGCCGAGCCAAAGGCATCAATGTGCCCATCATCCCTGGTATCATGCCTATTCAGACCTATGCCGCTTTCATCCGTCGATCAAATTGGACCAAGATCCGCGTGCCCCCAGAGTGGATGGAAGCCCTTGAGCCCGTCAAGAACGACGACTCTGCTGTTCGAGAGATTGGAAAGAGCCTCATCGCTGAGATGTGCAGGCAGCTGATGGCCACCGGTATCAACCACTTACACTTCTATACCATGAACCTGGCCCAAGCCACCAAAGCGGTTCTGGATGAGCTCGGTCTTTGCCCGTCGGACGAATCTCCTATCCAACGTGCGCTGCCATGGCGGCCTTCCCTTGCCCTCAACCGTCGGGGCGAAGATGTGCGTCCGGTATTCTGGCGCAACCGAAACTCCTCATACGTTGCTCGCACACAAACATGGGACGAGTTCCCCAACGGTCGCTGGACGGATTCTCGTTCGCCTGCGTTTGGTGAGCTCGACGCGTACGGTGTCGGGCTCAAGGGCACTAACGAGCAAAACATCAAATTATGGGGCGAGCCTAAGTCAATTAAGGACTTGTCAGATATCTTCGTCAGCTTCTTGAAGGGCAAGCTTGACAGACTGCCATGGAGTGACTCACCAATCACCACGGAAGCCAAGGACATTCAGGACAACTTACTTGACCTGAACGAGCGCGGATTCCTGACAATCAACTCTCAGCCCGCTGTCGACGGAATCAAGTCCTCCCACTCTGTCTACGGTTGGGGTCCTAAGAACGGTTTCGTATACCAGAAAGCCTACCTGGAGCTCCTGGTCCCCTCATACTTGATCGATGAGCTCATCACTCGCATCGAGAAGAACGATGACTTGACCTACCATGCCACCAACAAGAAAGGCGAGCTCAAGACAAACACACGCGACAGTCCCAATGCTTTGACGTGGGGTATCTTCGCGGGACGAGAGATCATCCAACCCACAATTGTCGAGACTGTCAGCTTCTTGGCCTGGAAGGATGAAGCGTACCTTCTGGGAGAACACTGGTCCAAGTGCTACAACGCAGCTAGCCCCAGTCGCAAGCTGATCCAGAATGTGATGGAAGACTGGTACCTTGTCAACATCGTTGACAACGACTTCCACCGCTCCAATGCCGTCTTCGAACTATTCAACGACTTGGAAGTGAAGGATCTCAACGTAGAGGTTGAGGTTCCCGCAAAGCCTGAAACCAATGGCACCGCCGAACCCAATGGAGTTGCCACCAACTAATGCCATTCCCCTCAATTCGGGACTGGTGGTCTTCCATAAAAAAAAGCCGACCCTTTCAACGAGTTATCTACCATTCTCACGCCAAAATCTCTCAACATTTACCTAATTCAACATCATCTCAACGATTACACAACCCGATACAAACATTCACTCCAACACATCTCGGGCCTCCCCTGCAATGTCTTATGGCGTCACGACTGAAGACCTCTCAACGATTTCTTCCACAGCGTTTTCATTTCAACATAATGTACCGATACCCCGTCTCTTTTAACAATGGCGCTTCGTCGATCGGTTTCTCTATTTCTTTTCAGGTCAACTTCCCTCCGGGCCCGGTGCTCTTCTGGACTTTCTTGTTTTTCTGTTTGGTCTACCAGTCCAGAAGAACGGAGGGAACAAAAGAATGGTCGAAACCCCAAAATTCAACATAATTTTTTTGCCCTTAGGGCTCCCTTCCTTTCTCCTGCTGTTTGTTTTTCTACTCCTGATTCTGATACATAGAGCTCGCAGTGGCTATAATGACGATGGTCGACTCTTGTCTTCTTTAGCGTCGGCCCTGCAATTTTATTCCGGTCTTCTTTTCTTCCTCTATTTCTGTTATCGGTTTGAGCCTGTTTTTGAACCGAAACTCATGTCGCAACTTGTCTTTGTTTATTGGAATGAGCAGATATCTCGCCCACTTGAGATTGAAGGAGACTATCCAATCCAACATGGTGTCCCCCTCATTCCGCCATTGAACTTCCCCCACCCCTTTTTCTTTTTCTTCTTTATTTGAAAATAAACTCTTTTGTTTTCTCATCGTATGTTTCGTGTTTCGCATTTTTCCCCCTCCAAGTTCTAAGGTTGTCGCAGGGGCTAGCATACAGGAAGCATTCAACACCAGCGTGGCGCAGTTGGGTAATATTCTTGGAGCATCATACACAAGATCGGACTCTGGCTTATGAAATTGCAAGAGAACAGTTGATTTGGTTTCATCTCCTTCTTCAACCTGGGAGGTGGACGCTGGACTGGCAATTGGGAGCGACGATTGTCTTGTCCTGATTGTTTGAATCTAGGTCCGCGACCATTCGGTTGTATGGGACTGCTATTCGGCTTTTCATTCTTGATTTTAGATTAGGTTTGGAATATCATTCACAAGTCTACTGCTCGTTTACGCTGGTTGTAGCTACATGGTCACATAGTCTGGCCTCATGGTAGCCGGCCTGATGCCTTCACAGGGGTGGAGATCCACCCCAGAATACGGGAGATAGCATAGAGATAGATTGTTTTCAGTTAGAAAAAAAAAACATCGATGTATTGAAGAATAGGCTAGTGATACAATAGACATAACCGAAGGAGTGGAAGTCCTCTCGACCTGGACAAACACCAAACACAAAATGATAAGACTCGCTTTCCGACGCCAGACTTCCCAAAAGGGGGCAATATTACACAATACACGGGACAAGTATGAAAAAGCAGGAAAGAGAGAACACGCTAGTGTTACATTATCAGGGCACGACCAACACACTGGAAGGCCCACGCAAACGGTCTTGCAAACCAGACAATCCAAGTACTCACAAGAACCACGTAGCTAGCAGCACGGCCGACGAGCATAGCCGCGAATCCCAGAATGAAGAGATAGACAACAGCCTGAAGCAACTCGAGCATGAATCTGCTGATAGCCTGGTCATTGCGAGCTTTGGGCCAAGAACCTGTAGCCTGGTAGCGGGACAAAGCTGCATATATGCATTTGAAGACGCGGTAGCAATGGCGGGTCATGTTGAGAATATTGGCGATGACAAATTTGGAGCAAGGGCTGTCGGTGCCCATTCGGAAAGACCGACTCACTTGGGTGACAGCTACGACGAAAATGTCAAATACCAACGAGAGAGCCAGGGGGTTTGTTCCTTGGCTTGAGGGCTCATCCTCATCTCGAGTGTGCATCTCACCCAGATCGGCATAGACATCTGTGATGTTGGATTGTAGAGACTCCTTTGGACTTGCAACCTGAAGCCCATCCAACTCGGCGATCTCCACGACACTGCTTGAGGTGCGGATTCGAGGTTGGGGCTTCACTCGTTCGTCCTTTTTAGGTGTATCGGCCTTCTTCGCGGCCGGGAGCGAAGACTTCTTTTCTGATATTGTTGGTTTGGCGGACTGGGATGGTTTATCCTGCTTAGACGGCTTCGCCAACGCCGATATCTTCTTGATTGAGGGAGCGGGCTTGTCTGCCTTTTCTGTCTTTTCAGACGGCGGTTCCTCGGATAGAGTCACCTGTTCTGCTGCGGGCTTGCTCGGGGTAGTAGCTGCTGGTTTCGTGGGTGGTGATTTTTTCTCAGGCGGAGCCTGCGCCGCCAACTTTTGTGGCGGCGGGGTCACTTTTCCCGAAGCAGCAGGAGTCTCTTTGGCGGACTGGAAAGACCTCGCTGAGCGAGATGATTCTGAATTGTCCCTGGACGGAAGTGTTGGTTCAGGAGTCACTGGTTGCTTCCGATTCGAACGCTGCAAAGAACCCGAGCCATTTCGTAGGGACTCGGCACGATTTCGCAGAGACTCGGTGCTGCTACGAAGTATCGAAGCTAGGCTATCTGTAGGTGATCGTACTATTCCCGTAGACCTTGCCAGCCCTCCGGTACGGATGAAGCCACGGATAGAATTGGACGCTGTGCCGGTAGCTCGCTCTTGGACGCGGTCTGTATCTTCTTTGTCTTTCGCTGAAGTAATGCTGCTCGCTGGTAGAGTTTGGGAAGTCGTCAAAGTAGGTGCTGTCCATTCGTGCCGAGGAATCGGCACACCGGGCCGCAGACCTGATGGCGTAGAGATCATCTGGGCCTTTGCACGGACGGCTCTGATAGCTTCCGCCGTGCCTGTGTGACTTGTGCCACCAGGACGTCGCAAACCTTGTGGCTTTGGCGCAGATGGTTTCTTGTCGGGCATTGGAATCATGGTGCGTGTGATAGTGGGCATGATAATGAACACATCGTCTTCCCCCCGACCGTCCTCGAGCCTTGCGGGCTGTTCGGGTGAGTTGTTGGGAGGGAGGGTGTTCTCTTTTCCCGAGTACTGGGATCCGGTCCTGTGGATAGAGTGCTGGGGGCAATTGCGGCTCTGACACTTTGTTGACGACTTCGAGCATAGGACATGCCTCGAATTCTGAGAAGTTTGTGGCTGCTCTTCTTTGCGGACTCCTGTTTCCTCCACTTTTTTCATCATATGCTGGGCAGTCACTCCCTTCGTGTCCTTCTGTTTGTTCTTCGAAGGTAGTGCGAGTGGACGTGGATGTAGGCTGGCGTCGTCCGGCGAAGTGAACATGAGGATTTCGTCTGGATTCTTTTCTCCCGAGATTTCCCTGCATCCTAAAAAAGAGCCATCGGCATTTTGAGGGTGACGCTTTTCCTTGGTCTTCGTTGGCGACTCTTCCCAAATTGTGCTAATGCGATTCCCTCCAATCTCATCCGGGCTGTAATAATGAGTTGCCGTTTGCCGTTGCGACGCTGACATGGGCTGTGGTTGTGGCTGCCTCTGTTGCTCATTCTGCGGCGCTTGCTGATGCTCATATCGCTGCGTTTCTGGCTTTGGTCGATCATCATATGCCCCATCATATCCCCCTTTGTACGGTTTGAATTCTCTGGGGCTCTTGGCGCGGGGGCTGATCTTGCTTTCTGGGGAGGCATTACGACTAGGTAATGCATCTGGATCCACCATCTGTCCTCCATCTTGATGTACCCTTTCGATGCTCTTCTGATACTCAGAAATCTGCTGACAAGTCATCATTGGCGGGTTGGGTTCTTTTGCAGTCGGCATATTCACAACGAATCGGTCTTCCCAGTCAGTAATCGAACTATCTTCAGCTGACACTGGAGAAATAGACGGATAAGATCGTGGACTGGAGTCGGTGGTCGTGTCCGTTCGCTCTGACTTATGTGGTGTGTTCTCGGTAGCCTCCATATTAATGCACTGGTCGCCCTGCTTCCGCCATTTGTTGTTGCTGTCCGACGGGCTGCGAACATCGTTCCGATGACCCTGTGCAGGGCTACTTTTAGCTGTGCTGGGACTGGGGATTCCTGTTCGTGCAGTGGGCCCGCAAGGGCTGTTCTGATCCTGTCGACTGGCAGCGGGAGGTCGAGTACGGTAATAGGATATGCGTGAGTTTGGAGAATCGTCGATGCCATTGTCCCTGTTCCTAGCGCTTCTTCCCAATAAAGGAGAGTCCTTCTCAAACTTCTCTTTTATCTTGCCCCAGTATTGATCACGATCCTTACCCGATGATCGAGGCTGGTCCCCAGATGGTCCAGGTTGACTAGGGGTGGTAGGTTTTGGTATGCCAGTAGGACTGGGGGTGTCTCTCAGTTCATTTTTGCGGTTTTCGGCAACGGTCCTGGGGACAGGAAGCCTGGTACTCCTCGGCACCTGAGACATGATTCCTGATGTGCTTCGCGAATCGCCATATTCCGGCGTCCTTGTTTGATGGGTGTACCGAGGGGGAGGAGTCGCAGAAAGCTCTGTGGCGGAGCCTCTGTATTCTGCTCGATACGCTCTGTAGGGACTATCGCGTGTCGGTCGTGGGGACAGGTTCACAAGGTGTCCATCTGGCAATTCCACACGGGCTTCGGTCATATTGAGTGAAGAACAAATGTACTTTGGAGACCCGACTCTCTGGTCCAACTGTAATGTTTTCTCTATCCCATGCCGTGAGAAAGGGGCGCTGGAGGCTTGACTGGTGGTCGTACTGTGTTCAAAATCAATGTCGAGGTCGAGGTTGGTCGAGTGTCGGTTGGCGGCTTAGGGCGAGGATATGGTATATTCGAAGAAGACACAGGGCGGGGTCATTGGAACCGACTGGCTGCTGAGCGATCTTCAGAGGTATTCGGGCTCTCAACGAGTAAGAATAATGGGCTCTGGTTGGCCGGAATGCCAGGATCGTCGATGAAGAATGCCAGCCCCCGGGCCGGAATGCCCTATGAAATGTCCTGCCGCCTCCTGGAATGGCAGTTCCCTGTCGAGCTCACCTATTGCATCATTTGAAAGTTACGAGGTCTCGATGTTGAGAAACCGCGACCCGGATATCAGCAATCATTAGCCCTAAGTTCACTCTTCGCCGCAGTGAGGCATTATGGTCTACGCAATGACCAATACTCCAAAGTATAAATCAATATCGATGTATTGAAGAGAAGATGAGTCCTGGTTCCCACAGGTAGCCGTTGATCGCCGGTTTGCATTCCCGGACGTGGCGGACGTGAAAAAGTTCATGGGGTACACATCAGACGTAAAGCTGCATTAAGTGAAACGTCAATTGAAGATATGTACGAGGAATGCTTCCTTTCATCGATGCGCATGACAGGCAGTAAGTCGCGCATATAACACATGGAAACTGTCCGAAAAAGGGCGTGGCAGGGTGCGCAAACAGGAAATGGGCATTCATTCGTTCTAAAATCGTCCGGTTTCTCGGCGTGTGTAGGGACTATCTGATCTATAAATGCCGGCTGAGCCTGAGCCGAGTGTGCTCGCGGGCCCCGGCACGACACTTCTTTTCAAGGGGCTGGAAGTCCGCTGCATTGGGGTTGTGCCTCGTTCCTTGTAGATGAAGTCTCCATTCTGTTGTACACGCCGATCAAAGGAGGTTGTCGCGGACTTCCGCAATGGGGAGTTTGCGTGAGTAAAGACGCCGAGACTGCCACCATCACCCGTAGACGTTGTTGCTGTTGATCGGAATTGTGGCTGTCGCATCGTTGTGCGGTTGTTGTTTCGCAGCAGCGGCGAACCGTCCCGGGATACATTCGGGGTCTGAATTGACTGGCCTTGGAATATAGACGAGACTCCTGGTGTGCATGCAGTTGGCTGGCGCACGGGAGTGTGCCCTTCTGGGTCAACGTGCTTCAGATAATTTGGGTTGGGGCTAGTCTTGAAGCCACGATTGATAAGTACGGCTGGGCTATAGGTGTCCACCCTGTTGATATCGCCCTCTGACTTTGGATGTCGACCATGCGGATCGGAGAATTGAGTGCCCACGTCTCGCATCAAAGGATGTGTTCGAGGCTGTACGTATTTGGTATCGTATTCCTTGAACACTTCTTTATGAACAACCTTCTGGTCCTTGGCCTGCTGTGTGTAGGCGGAAGAAATAAACGACATCTGAACTGACAGCAGTGCAGTCAAGACCATTGCGGTAACAATGGTCACACTGGGACGGGGATCGGAGAGCTGTGTTGGCAGGAAGAGCCAGTAAACCACGACATGCCCAGGGCTGAACAAAGAGAAAAGCCGGAGACAAAGTGGCGAAGGGTCCCAAATTGCAAGCTCCCAAACATCACGTTGGGCATCAGGGTGCGCTCTCGAGTTGGCTGATTCGGTTGACAAGGCCCTGGCAATGTAGCGCAGGGGAGAGGGCATCATGGGGCTCGAATCAACGCGTACGCGCTGGGCTGAAGGTGTTGCCGGAGTGGTATCGATAGAATTCTCGAACAGGCGATAGTGCCGCTTCTTGTAGAACGTATAGAAGGCATTCGCCACGGAGGCAAGGGCCAGGAAATGGACGATGAATGAGGCCTATTTGAAGCAACAATTAACTTTCTGAAAATGAACAAGCAGTAGAAGCGGATTCACTCACTAGCCAACCTCGCAAGGATGTACTGTCATCGTCGCCAAAGACATCGTCGAAGGCCTTGCTGCCACTGGACCGACTATTCGCCCGCGCAACCAGGAAAACCAGGTTCAACGCAATACCGATAGGCAGCGCCCAGTTCTTCTCCAGCTGCTCCCAGTCGCCACCTTCAAACTCTTCGGAGAGCCAAAGTAAAAAGTCGTATGGATTCAGGTAGGAGATGATGCGCTCAGAGAGCGGGCGACGGCGTACGAGGCGCGGCATGATGTGGAGGACGAGAGACGTATAAGAGAGAAGCTGTTCCTCCGCAGCTTCGCCCTATGTCAAGAAATACCACGAGTGCATCAACGGCAAGGCGCAGTTGAAGTTCAATGTTTTGCGGAAGTAAACAAAATTGCATCAGCTTATGTAATGGGAGCTCCCGATAACCACGGCGATCAACGGACAGCTGGACAAGACCTCCCGTTTGCTGTTTCCACCTCAAATAACGAGTCCGGTTTGAGAGTAATTTCTCTCGAATATCCTCCGCTCGTTCGTTTCTCCGGCTTCATCATGGCGGCATCAGCCGCAACATACAAGGTACTGACCTTCGCTCGATGGAACAGCCCTTCCGATAACGTCGCTAACTGGTCTCTACTCTAGGACCGGCAATTCCTCGCCGTCATTGGCGATGAGGAGTAAATGACCCCTGCTACGATATTTCTACTTTGAAGAGACCAAATCCGGCTAACCTTGCCTCACCCATTGTGCAGCTCTGTCACCGGTCTTTTGCTCGCAGGCATTGGGGTATGACCCTCCTCCGCACCATCCCATCTACTCCACGGCTTTGCGATAGCAGAAAGCAGCTCGATTCTAACGACTTCTTCCATGCACAGCACGTCACCGAACCCCCAGGCTCCCAACGAAACTTCTTAGTCGTCGACTCCAAGACCGAGACCTCGGAGATTGAACGGGCCTTCCAGAACTTCACTCAGGAGCGGAAAGATATCGCCGTCCTACTGATCAACCAGCACGTGAGTATACTCCCTATATATACTGTACAAGACAAATGCAGCGCGCCGGCTTGGTCACCGACACATCGTCTAACATCTATCTTGAAAACAGGTCGCAGAGCGCATCCGCCACAGCGTCGACGCATTCACCGAACCCTTCCCAGCTGTCCTCGAAATCCCCAGCAAAGATCACCCCTACGACCCCGAGAAGGACAGCGTTCTCAAGCGTGTGCGCCGTCTGTTTGGAGAGTAGAACTTATTTACGTCCGTTATCGTCTTGGTCATTTAGCTGCGAAAAGAGTTCCTTTCTTGCGACATTCTATCTTGGGGATATGCAAAACATTTTTGATCCCGTTGCCTCTGATTTCTTGCTGGTGGAGCCGGCTGCGTCTGGTTGGAGATGGGTGTGGAGAAAACATGGAGATATTAGGTAGGGAAGATACCCAGCATAACTGAAATGAGAATGCACATACACCCTTCTTATATATCCTAGTATGTTTTACTGGTCTTACTTTCTATTCCATGCCTGTATAACCCTTGTCCAAAGAAGAATAATGGTCTTGACCAGTTTGGTGCAGATATATATCAGTCACATGGCCCAGTTGATTTTATATTTTTCAAGGAAAATAACCTCGAAGAAATGCTACGGCTAGGCAAAGCCCCAATGAAGTTATAGCGTCAAAGCAGACAGCCTACGGCTGCCTTTTGTGTTCGATAATGGGAAGACGGATATATTATGGTCTTAGGTACGTGTAGCTACCGAGTTTACAAAACGACTTGGTATATGCCGAATGACAATCACAAAAATATCAACGTAGATGCAAGGACCGTAGCAATCGAAGAGGAATCCAGATAGCGCAGCGTACAAAGGTAAAACATGAAATGCGAAACTCAAGAGGGTCGTAAGAAAGGGCGTAGATCAAAGCATTGTGGGCAATTGAACACTCAAAACAACACAGAGCTCATGATATTGAGAGGTAAACAAGCCAATGCCACCTGGAGCGTGGATGCAAAGCGATGTCAAAGTTCGATAAGATCATAAGTGGAATTGAATGTCGTCGGCTTTGAGGCAGGTGACCTGCTTCAAGTCCTTGTTGTAGACATCAGCCAGAACCGAGTATTTGCCCTGAAAAGAAAATGTTAGCCATCGGTTCTTCGCAGCGTCATTATGAAGCACGTACGGGAGGAATCTGCTTGGGCAGTTCCACCTCCTTTTTCAGAACCATCTTGCCCTTCTCCAGAGGACACGACAGATCCACGTTCTCGAGTTCATCGCAGAGGTCGACAGTCTGCTTGATCAGGGTAATGAGACCCCACTTCACTTCGAGGTTCACTGTGGCGCCCTTCTCAACTCGGTCGAGCAAGGTACCTGTGGCGGAGATGATCAACTTCTCACCTCTATCAAGAGTAAAATATCAGTTAGTAAGATCCGCCATAAAACGGGGGTATTCGTGGGATTCAACGTACGCAAGAGGCGGGTTGGGCGTGAGATCCACCGATTCAATTTCAAGGCGGTAACTGGCCGGGTCGGCACAGTAGCTCAGTGGGTTATCGCCCTCGACGGGAAACTTGGGGTCATCGGTCTTCAGTGAGACTTGCGAGGGATCGAAGAGGGAGAACGCGGCCGCACTGGCAAGAGGAGCCGTGAGGGCCAAGAGGCCGGCCGATAAGAACTTCATGGCGACTGTGACCCGTTCAGGGGAAAGCGGGTGCAGTGGGTAGGTAAATGGGGTATGTGCGATAGTAAAATATCACACAGAGCGTAGTTCGAGGTCAAAGGCGAAACTTGGAGTAGAGGAAGTTGGGGTGAGGAGAAGAGATGTCACTTGATGACGCCTCCACACGTGACAGGGGCAGATCTATTCCCGTTTCAGTCGAACTTTGGTTCAACACCTCGTACCTGCATGGCGGCTGAGCATCATCCTTTATTCTCATGCTATCTCTTGTTTTTCATATTGAAATCTACAACCTTACAGATGAACTTGAAGCGTTGTACTCCTTCCATCCGAGTGGGGAGCCTGTTTGACCCACTACTCCAGTTTCTTATCAGTGATCGCCGGCATAACTATCAGAAGTTCCAACAGAGCCCTCATCTTATCGCAAATTTTGAACCATCACTTTGTTTCAAGTCGCCAGCATCAACTGAGGAGACTTAAACCATAATGGTCTTTCTTTGTGCTCGCACTTCCTTTTTGGTCCAGCCGAGAGGCTTCTAAACCACCGACTTCATATAATTACACATCTTATCATTAAAAAGCATCAAGTCTAAGGACAGTACTAACAGCAAGTATACCCACACGAACGACAAATAGCAATTAATATACTCAACGCCGGTAATATCCCCTAGACCAGTGAACAGACTCCTTTTCTCCGTTCCGTCCCTCCGTAATACATATACACCTCCAATGAGGTCGCCGAAAAACATGAGACCATGCTCAAGGTCCAACGCTCAAGGTCCAACGGAATTCCAATCCCTTCATGCAGACGTTGTACAAGGATTCGTAAAACCGTATGTTCACCCCTGAAGACTGCGTCCAAGTTGACAACATTGACAGAATTCCCACACGGAGGATCACCATGGTCTGTCCAGTACGGGGGACTAGAAACAGGATCCAGTTCCAGGTCTATGGGTTCCGGGAGGTGATTGTGTACAACATCAACATCTGTCTTTGAGAAATTCCCTGGTATGTTAGGGTCCTGCGTGTCGACTTGATTCAGGCCCATGCACATAGTCTAACCCAGGCCTCCCTTCGATGGGCGGTTCTATGATCAGTACAGTCTTTCACGGATTTCATCCACCGCAATACTCACACACCACCTTTAGCGGTCCTCGCGGTCCTCTTCCGAGCGCCCGGCATTATAGAGTCTCTGAACTGCTCCCGACCAAATTGGCACGCATGACTCTCATTCCTTCACCGTCACACCAGTTTATCTTGTTCCGAAAGATCTTCGACTGCTTGGGTGTATGCGACACCACTTGGAATGATGGTCGTGATGTTCTTGCGGAGAGACCGCATCGCTGAATCGAGCCGTCGTTGACCATTGTGTCCCCATATTTTGGTCCAATAGATATGTTCATGCAAAATGCCGATTGCAATGCCATCATGTAGAGACTGGAGTCAAGTGACTAACTCCAGGAAATCGGTACCATCCGGAGAACAGGACAAACCGGCCATTTCGACGAGGGTAACTCGATAGGCGTTCAGTGACTGTCATCTTCCTTTTGTGAAAGCTTTTGCCCCACCGAATGTTGATTGGAAAGGTCAAAAGTGGGTTTTGAGTCTATTAAGGTAAATTTTTAGCTTATAAATTACGAGACTACCGCTTTCTAAAATTTGATACTTGATATTTTATGCTTCTGCTATGAATAATATTGAACGGGCAGCTGCCTCTTAGCGCGAGTCATATCTTTCAGGGAGCATACGCGGTGTGCTCGGCCCGCTCGGCCCAGTGATGCCGGTTAACACTGGAAAGCCGATCTATAAGTTTTACCTTTCATTAGTTAGAGTCCTATGCTTTCGGCGTTTAGGTGAAGTATGGCATAGATAGACTAAACCGGCGTCCAGAATACTATATAAAGAAAGTCCCTTATACGTTCTTCCAGGTAAGAAGGACACTTGTGGACGCAAATCATGCAAATGGGCAATAATCTAGGTTCCAGCATAAAAGAGGGGTCTTTTAACATTGCCCTAAAACTACATGGTCACGCACAGACTAGGTGGGCATCTTGTGCATGCATTCAATTCAAGCAAACCATAGATCTAAGTAAATAATAGAAAGCTCACATCAGACCTCCGTACGTATCCCCTCTGCTTCCTCGTTCTCTTCCTTGTGATACCAATACATGTACTTCTCCTTCTCACTTTCCTTCTGCGGAGCTTTGGGTTGCGATTCGGCTTGGTCTTCCTTCTCTCCATCATTCTTGTGGTGATGACCGTGATGTTCAAAGATCTTTTCCACAAAATTTTCGTGGTGCGCGGGTGAGGGCGGGGATTCTGTGATTCATCAACCTCGGAATTATGGTAGCCTGGCGCGTAATGCTGTCAACTTAGGCTTTAGTGCTTCACCGGTGGGAAAAATAATAGTTGACCAGGAATCTATTCAATCGCGAGTACATATGCCATTCACTAACACTTGTATGTTAAAACTGCTGTAGATAATTCGGATCAAAATCGGATGAAATTCATATTATGTGGTTCCACTCCCATACAAATTAGAGGCAGCTTCGAAGAAATTAGCCGTCGAAATCCGAGAAGGCATGGCTTCGGCGCCACGCCTCTCGCAGAGCAAGAAACACTTTACTTACTTCCTGAACACATAGTTTTACTCTTAATAGTTAGACAAAGCGTTCAGCTGTATTGATGACGTGTGAAAAGTCAAAACGGATAGCACAAGAACCTTGCAGTCTTGAGCAGGTCTGTTGCGGTCCGGTTGAAGCTGGTGCATCTCACCGCTTCGCCCCCCACTGTTCACTTTCACCTACCACGCTAAACGATGCACCTCGGGGTCTTCTTAATTTTATTTCTTATAGCCATGCGCGGATAGATACAAGGTCCAAGATCGGTGTAAAGTGGGGCTCACTTGGCCATCTCGTTCCCCTGCATTGACTGCTCGCCCAGTGTAGAGAGTACTTGCCTAATCATCTTCCACGTATAACAACCACATTCCCAGATACCACTGTCTGTTTGAGGTTCTGGTTTACCGATCGCTAGACGCGCGTGTAACACCGAATCGACGCCATGGAAGAACGAACCCCGATTGCACCGAACGTCAGCTCCCTTCAGCCCATTCTGCATCTGACCCAAACACGGTACAAGCCCATTGACATTTGACCGATCATTGACCGTCCCGTGTTTGCCCTGGGTCCTTATCGGCGCCGCTGAGATGTGACCTCATCCATGACGGCGGTGGGCCGTAACACGTACATACGCTCGCTCTGATACATGAATCTTAAGGTCATAGACTGTGTGATCTGTGATGGCCCTACAAAGTGATCAATACATGTCGATTCAATTCCAGCTTATAGCGTCTTGACAGGCCTCTTTGGTTGGGCGGACAGGATGACGGAGTTGACTAGCCGGAAGGAGAACTCATATAGTCGCAGCTAGCTCTACGGATTTGATGCATATAACTCGGACTAAGAGCACTATGCTGATTCAGATAAATCCTTAAGCCATTTCCACAAGAAGTGTAGCTATAGAGCTCATCATGTCCGCTGAAAAATACTATACTCTTGCCGAAGGTCATTAATCCTAAATACAGTCATGGCAATTTGACATATTTATTGAGAAAAAAAAAAAAAAAAAAGGCTGCCCCTTCGCAAACAGCAGCACTGCTGTGCTCATGCGCAACAGACAAGGTGGGGGCCTCGGACTCCTCCAGGACACGCAGCTCATCGAGACCCTCGCTCATTCTTCTCGCAAGAGAATCCCAGAGCGGTAAGAGTGATACATTGTGAACATACGTATTAACTTATGACTAACAATAGAATTGTTCCAGCGTTGTTCATGCCAAAGCTGTGGGGTAAGCCAGCTAAAATGCAATTATTCAGGGCAAGTGAGCTAGCTAATCTATATAAAACCCCACTCATAGGGTATACGGAGAGTTCGAAGCCACCGCCGACTGCTCCGACCTGACATCCGCCAGCTTCCTCAACAAAGCTGGCAAGATGACTCCTGTTCTCCTTCGAGTCTCCACTGTTGGCCCGGAATCAGGCTCTGCTGATACTTCGCGAGATGTCCATGGCTGGGAAATGAAACTATATACAGATGAAGGCAACCTAGACTGGGTTTTCAACAACACCGTGAGCAGATCTTAAACACACATCAAAATAACCCTTGCTCATACAAAGCGAAGCCAGTATTCTTCATTCGGGATCCCATCAAGTTCCCCTCTATGAATCGGTCCCACAAGAGGCACCCGCGGACTCACCTACCTGATGCAAACATGGTATCTGCCAATTCCTGAGCTCAATGCATACGAAATAGCCGACAAAACATTTAGTTCTGGGAGTAGGTACAGCCATTGAACGTCCGACGCTAGATTATTGACAATACCTAGCTTCCATGTGGGCAACCCAGAAGGAATCCACCAGCTTTCGGTTCTCTTCAGTGATCGTGGAACTCCCCAATCAATCCGGCTTTTTGAACTCCTACAGTGGACACACTTACAAGTTTACCAAGGAGGTAAGGTCCCAAGACATAATATTGCATGTAAATGGCTCACTCTTTTGAACTAGGATGTTTCATTCAAATACATTAAGATCCACATGAAGACCCAACACGAGGGCTATCCGCTGAGGAAGATTGGCAAGCTGACCTTGGATCGTAACGTTTGTTATCCGGTCCCCTGGCTTGCTTAAGCAGACTGACCATTTATTAGCCCGGAAATTACTTCGCCGATATTGAGCAGGCGGCATTCTCTCCGTCTAATATGGTACCTGGCTTTGCGGCTTCGGCCGATCCCGGTTAGTTATATAGCAGGAGCGTCATCTGTTACGTTGAAAACTCATCCCCGTCTGTTCTAGTCCTCCAAGCGCGCCTATTCGCTTATCCCGACGCAGCTCGCTACCGCCTCGGAGTCAACTACCAGCAACTCCCCACCAACGCAGCCAAGGTCCCCGTATACTCTCCCTTTGAGAGAGACGGCAAAATGAGGTTTGATGATAACTACGGCGGTGATCCAAACTACGTCAACTCCTCTCTCCAGCCGACCAAATTCTACCCAGAAGTCAAAGGAGTCAACCCTGAGTCGCTGAGCGTGCATACCGAGCACGAGAAGTGGGTTGGCGAAGTTACAACCTACACCAGCCACATGAAAGACGATGATTTCATTCAGCCTGCTGCTTTGTGGGATGTCATTGGCCGTGATCCGGGACACCAGGAAAGGAATATTGAGAATCTTGCTGGGAGTATCAGTGGGGTCAAGTCGGGTAAGCTGCGTAATGAAGTATATGGTTCGTCGACGCTTTCTTTCAGTGTTGCGAAATGATTTTACTGACCCACATGCAGCACTCTTTAGCAAAGTCGACCAGGATCTTGGGGTAAAGGTCAAGATGGCGACCGAGGCAGCTATCAAAAACTAAAGCCCTTGACGGGAGCTCTCTTCTATTACCGAATCCAGTACTAAAATTAAAATAGCTCGTTTTCAGTAAATCAAATAAATTGGCACTGGAAAGCTTTCGTCGGCCAAAATGTAGTATATGGACACGAAGTTCAGATAATCACCTGTGCGAATGAACATCGATCCGCAGACGCGAGACATTCCGAGTGTTTGGAAAAGGAATAACGGGATTTGAGTTACCAAATCTCGATCAATGGCAAGGACTGGGTTGGGCTATTCATTTTGGGTCTTTCTGCAGAGAAGTCTCTTTTGGCTGTCGGTGGCACAAGAAAACTTATCTGAAAAAGGGAACAACTGAAGTACGGAGACTGCCGCATAATCGTGATGCCAATACAAACAATCATCACCGTAGAAAATTTACCCACCTACAGTCTGCTCCAGGTACTAATTCTTTCGCCGAAAGGGTCCCATGGTCCATTGACTGGTTGCGCCTGAGTGACTAGCACGTCAAGCTGCCTGTCCTTCTTTTCTCTACAGAACAACTCTGGAAACCCCCTCAATTCTCTCCAATAGTTCTGCTGCTCTTCTCTTACCATAAAAAGATTATCCCAAAAGACTGAAGAAGCCGAGCATACGATCCAGAAGCCTGCAGTACTTTTGTCAACGTCGAACATGCAGACAAGTTCCTTTAATTTAGCCCTTGTAGCCCTTTTTTTTTTGACAAAAACTACGTCTGAAACTCCACACCGTAAGCAGATCCAAAATATTGGAGTACAGAGGAATTAGTCATCGACATCCCGTGGCTCATGCTCCTTCCAATACTGCTCGTATTCCTCCGGTGTCTGACCGGAGACAATCTCATAGCGAGAAAGAGGAGCCAAGGGGATACCCAGCTGCTCATACTTATCCAAGCGTTTCCTCGTATTTTCCCGGCTCTTGTTAATGCTATAAACCTTGATTCGATGAGCCGAAGACGTGACATGCAGACCCCAGTTCCACGCCGCGCGGACATTGAGTGGCTGCGTGTTGAGGGAGTTATCCCAGCATCGACAGACGATCTCAATCCATCCTTCAGCGTCACAAGGCAAATCGAATTCCCAGGTACGCCAGGTCCATTTTCCTTTCTTGGATAGATTCTCCGGTGGCACGTCGTACCAGGTGAAACCGCCATCTGCGGACAATTCGACTCTTTCGGGCCATCGACCACCGCCGGAGTAGGCCCAGCCCTTGCATCGAATCTTTCCTATGTGCACGACCGCTTGTTTTGTCCACGGGGACATGATAGCTGAGCTGACTGGCATTTCTTGGATTTGGATGCCGTCTGTGGGTCGTTGGTTGTACTTGCCAACCTGTTGATTGAAGTATAGGTATTCCCTGCTCTGAACTGGGGCGAGGGATGGATTCTCAATGGCCTTGATGCGGTAAAGCCATTTGACGCTTCGGGCTCCAATGTATCCTAGTACCACAACTCGTAACGGATACCCATGGATTTTGGGCAGAGGTTCACCGTTCATCTCCCAGGCCAGGATGACCTCGTTGGCCTTCACCTTGGACCAAGGGACGCTAACAAGATAGTTGCCCACCTCAAGATCCTTGATGTAGGTCTCAGCACCGTAAAGCTCGAGATGTTTAGCTGGCTTGACGAGACCCCCGCAGTCTTTAATCAGCTTCTTCAAGCTGATACCGACGTAACGAGCTGTCCCAATGGCACCCTCAGCCCACGGTGCTTGGGGAACCTCGTCTCCCTGACCACCGTACAGGGAAATTTGCTCAATACGACGAGTTCCCGAGCACTGGATAGTGACCGTCTTCTCCATGCGTGGGAACTTAGTCTCATCCATGAGATCATGGAATTTATAAGTCTTTGGGTGATTCACCAGCCCATCTAGCGACAGTTCCCACTTGTCTTTATCGATGATTGGAATGCCGCCGTGGTTCCGCACGAAGTGGAGAGGATTTGGTGTTATCGCTTTCGAGGTGACAAGCCGCTTGGGAGGCTCCCCATTGTAAGGGAATTGGAGGAGATGCAGCATATCTGCATGTTTCTCACGGAGAACGCATCTCCAGGAGTCATCTGCAACAGTGGTGAGTTCACCTCCGAGGGCAGTATGCCAGTCCTTGAAATCATTGCCCGGAAGCACGGGGTTGGTCCCTGGAATTGGACCGAAAATGAAATCAGGGGATGGGTTAAATGTCTGCGAAGTGAGGATCTTGTGCGCTTTGGCTTTTTTCTCGGGATAGTTTTCCCACTCGATGTATCTATATTGCAACAGTAGTCATTAGCTTATTGGCCAGTAGTACCATGTCATAGATGCATAGGGCAGCAATACCCTTTCCAACCATTACGTTCGCGGGTGAAAAGCTTGGCACGATCACCCACTGATGCGATTGCTTCTTCATCTTTCATCAATTTTGTCACCGGCGGAGGGTAAAGGTGGACGATGTCACTTCCAGATTGGTCAAGGATAGGTAGCTTGTGGCCGGCCATGCCCTGTTCAATCTTCCACTCATCAGGACGATTGGTAGTATCCAATTCAGCTGGGAGCTCCATTGTGCATAGATATCAAAGGAAACTTCAGAATAAGTTGTATAGTATCTTCAGTGTAATTGCGTTGTTATGACGAATACGTGATATCCATGTGAGGTCAGGTAGCTTGTTTTATATTTCAGTCATGCTAGGGTGTTGGGGGCTGGGAAATTCCGGCAAGTGCCCCGAGCGGCACCTAGGGATTCGTTCCCGGATACAGAATTTAGACTGCATCCAGTAGAAGCCATACGGTAGCCCGGGAATGATGGCTAGGCATTGTAATGACCTCACGACTCTGAGCGAGCTCGTCTACGATATGTACCAAACCAAGGATGCATTTCCAAAAAGGACATATTAAATCTCGAGATTACAAGTAGAAATTGGCGTTAACATAGTGAATCTGGTTTATTTGGTTGGCGCGAGGTGGATAACGACGTAAGTCCCAGCTCCTATCTAAACTGTCGTGAAACTCAATTTCTTAGGTTCATTTTATTTGCTATCTCTCTCAGGATAACATAATAGACCGTTGGCAAAACCCCTGGCGTCCCCTTGTCGAAGAGGAATTCACAGCAGAGGTACTACATCAAGCTGCAGCTTTGTGCTGGAGGGCGGACGCCAAAGAATGGCGGGGACGTATCGCTTGCGTCGACCGATTGGTCAACACCTTGGGATCGATACTGTCCTAGCTATGATTGGTAGCTAATTATACTTAATTTTTTGAAAGGAGTAAAGCTTGCCCATCATTGGACATTGATTAATGTCTTTTGCAGAGCAGGAATGCAGCATAGCGTTGCTTCCGATTGGGGTAAGGAATGCATGATGCGTTGGCTTTGCACTCAGACCTCGCTAGGTTGAGGCATTCAAGGGCTGAAATTATTTCCGCTTCTATCAGTGAACCATCTCCCCTTGAGCAAAAGAAATATTCTTTAAATCATGGCCCAACAACAACTCACGAGGCGGACAGCATCCCTACTTCAGCTATCTCAGAACTTTCGCACCCAACGCACTTTCAGAAATTCCAGCGTAGGGAGACGCTGTCTACGGGCACTAAGTGAGATAATCCCTGTATGTCCCTATCATGTAGGACCCATGCCAATCAAAAAATCTGACCAGGTCCCTTCCATAGACACCTCAGCACCAGCGGTCCTTAAATGAACGGACTGTCAAGCCTTTCTCTGAGTTTCTCACGGACAAATTTCATCGTCAACATGATTACCTACGGATCAGCGTCACGGAACGGTGTAATCTGCGGTGTTTGTACTGCATGCCCGAGGAAGGGATAGACCTGTCGCCACTGCCCCGGCTGTTAACCTCGCCGGAAATTGTTTACTTATCATCATTATTCGTCTCTCAGGGCGTTACAAAGATCCGTCTGACGGGCGGGGAACCAACGGTGCGGAAGGACATTGTCCCCTTAATGCAAGAAATTGGCAAGCTACGGCGAGTCGGGCTACGCGAGCTATGTCTGACCACAAACGGGGTCTCACTACACCGAAAGCTAGACCATATGATAGAAGCGGGCCTGACAGGCGTAAATCTGAGCCTGGACACTCTGGATCCATTCCAGTTTCAGATCATGACCCGACGGAGTGGATTCGAGGCCGTGATGAAGAGCATAGACCGTATTCTGGAAATAAACCAGAGCGGCGCCGGCATCAAGCTAAAGATCAACTGCGTTGTGATGCGCGGCTTGAACGATCGTGAGATCATCCCATTCGTCGAGATGTGTCGTGAGAAGCCTATCGAGGTGCGCTTTATCGAGTACATGCCCTTCGATGGGAACAAGTGGAACCAGGACAAGATGTTCTCGTACCAGGAGATGCTAGCGGTGATCCGAAAGAAATATCCGACGTTAGAGAAGCTCGCCGATCATAAAAATGATACCAGCAAGACATATCAAGTACCTGGATTTAAGGGCCATGTCGGATTTATTACCAGCATGACGCACAATTTCTGTGGCACCTGCAATCGACTCCGAATTACGAGTGACGGCAATTTGAAAGTGTGTCTTTTTGGAAATTCGGAGGTTTCGCTGCGGGATATCATCCGTAAGGAGAATCACGGGCGGCCTATCGACGAGGAAGCCTTACCGGATCTTCTGGAGACTGTGCAGACCGCTGCCCGTCTCGGTGACAATGGGGGCCTGGCTGAACGAGAGCGCGAGATCCTGGATATCATTGGTATGGCCGTGAAGCGTAAGAAGGCGAAACACGCCGGCGTGGACGAGCTGAAGAACATGAAGAACCGTCCAATGATTCTCATTGGTGGGTAGGCATGCTTTTTCTTGTCATGATTGGAATGATTTACGACTTGTATATTTTACATGCATCTGTATGGGAAATACCAATTCACATTTGGGATATTTGGGGTTATGTATTTATAAAATCGGGTTTCGGGATGCACATGGGGTCTTGAATTCATATCAGAGGACCATTTGAAATTCACTTTCCTTGCAGTATGAATGCCCAAGCAAACCCAATGATTGTAACATGTCCGTAACAGACACATGTGCTGGAGACGAACCCATAGCCAAAAGAACGATGTGCTGGCTTGGGGAGAACTATGGAACGAATCATATCCAGTTCTAGAAATACTATCAGTGCTTCCGGTCACGAGAGATACTACTTCCGAGTTATGGAGAAGGATGCAACCCAATTACTGCCCACCAGTTCCGTATGCACGAAGAATACTACCATCTATCAATCCATCACAGACCCTGGGTCTTCTGCAGCTAGATAGTACTGGGTTTTATTTCGGTGGGACCGAGCGTGAGCGGGGTGGGCTTTTCCGATACCTCCATTATTCGCTCCTGCTGAAGCGTGAATGGTCCTATCTTTTGCTGAGCGTCCAGGGAACTTCTACAATCAGACACGGAATAGACGAAGGGTATACCTTAACCTATCTCGCTGCAGCAATCCATTTTCGTTTCTCTCCCGCGTTATCCGACTTCTCATTCTACCTGTCCTCCAAATGGTGATATCATCTCCCTAAGAAACCCCGAAAACCAACGTTCTAAAATTGCTCGTCTTAACCAAGAAGCAAGAGCTTTCGGCCAGAACCTGCAAATTCATCCTGTTGCGCCTGGACCCTTTGAAGGCAAAGTAAAAGTCTCCGCAACCATCCGACTGCTGGTGAAACTTGCATCTCACCGTATCGAGTGGGGGTTGTAGCGTTCCCCCGCACGAGGTAGGCTACTAATAAAGCTCGGTAAACCCACTGTGATCGCTATATGCCTTTGAGCGGTAGCTGTCGAGAGCAAAGCTTTCCAATCATGTCTGTCCTCCGCATACTCTTCGTGCTGGCTTCCCTGTCTCTGGCAGATCTTACCAACGCAGAAAGGGTCCTCGGGGCTTATATTTTCCAGCGCCACGGGGACCGCACAGCTAAAGCCTGGCCACCTACTAAATTAACCAGTCTGGGTTACGGTCAAGAGTATATGACTGGTACCTTTTTCCATGACCGTTATATCTCGTCGAACTCTTCCTATCACATCGAAGGGATCAGTACCGACACAGTCAACTTGGCCCAGGTTACTGCCAGTGCGCCGCAAGATGATGTTATCGAAACCTCAGGAGAGGGGTTCTTGCAAGGCCTCTACCCTCCTATCGGCTCTGTTGCCACGGAGACTCTGCGCAACGGATCAACAGTTCAATCCCCAATGAACGGCTATCAGCTGATCCCGATGTCAGACGTACAGTCAGGCAGCGGGAGCGAGGACAACGCGTGGCTCCAGAGCACATCTTCCTGCAACAATGCCAAAGTCAGCAGCAACAACTACTTCTCCTCAAACTCCTTTAAGAGCCTGTTGTCGTCCACCAAAGAGCTTTACCAGTCTCTTGAACCGCTGGTCAATGGAACATTCAGCTCTACTGAGCTGAACTACAAGAATGCATACACCATATGGGATTTACTCCATGTGGCTTTGATTCACAACTCCACCACGACCTTCCAGCCATCCAGTCTTCTCACTGATCAGGTAATGCAAGAGCTTTTTATTCTCGCGAGCGAGCACGAGTTCAACCTAGCATACAATAGTTCAGATCAGATCAGTGCTGTTGCTGGTATGACCCTTGCTGGCGAAGTTCTTGCAGCTTTGAACGAAACCATTACATCTGGCGGCAAGTCCAAATTGAACATCCAGTTCGGTGCCTATGCCACTTTCCTTTCTTATTTCGGTCTTGCCGGGCTCCACACCGCAGATGAGACCTTCTCTGGTATACCCGACTACGCTTCGTCCATGGCATGGGAGCTTGTGACAAACGATACTGGCACTGGGATGCCTTCCACGTCAGATATCAGTGTGCGTTTCGTGTTTCACAATGGGACTAGCGTTGAGGGCTCAACACATCTACAAGCTTATCCACTTTTCGGTCAATCCACGCTCGAGCTCCCTTGGGCGCAGTTTGTTGACAAGTCGAAGAAGTTTGCTGTTTCATCGCAGCAGCAATGGTGTCAGGCCTGTGGAAATACCAATGGAATCTGCGCCTCGACTTCCGATGATAACGGCGGTGATAGTTCATCCTCCAGTTCGTCGTCTGGTTCTTCCTCGGGCACAGGGATGAGTTTGGGAGTGGCAGGTGTGATTGGTGCAATGGTGACTTTGGGTGTTCTTGTGGGGCTGTTGGTACTCAGCATGTTCATCTTTGGCCTCCGACTCGTACCCAAGAGTGCGCTCGCCAGTATTCATCGAGCGTCGGACGCTTCTACTACACCAGCGATGAAGACGACTTTAGCGTAGGAAGTTCTGATGAGAAGGGGATTATGAATAATATAAGATAACCTTGTACTTACTTTGTATTTTCTCTTCACACACACCCTCATCAGAGTGCTTATAATTGAAGGCTTGTCCCCCTGTAGCCCCACATTAAGCTCCACCAAGTCACCAATAGTCAAGCCCAGTTATCAGCTAAGAGAGTAAGAGCTTTTAGGGATCTACTGGCCGAGTATTGGGCAGAGCACGAATGGTTAATATCCGACTTGGCAATTCCCTGGCGATTTCTTGACTGTGAAGATTTCAGGAACAGGTTACCAAAACAATCTATATTGTATCGTAGCCGCCACAAAGCGTGAGAGACTTTCTACATTGTACAATGTTGGCATGTGCGAGGAGGCTAAATCGCGAGGATCCAAGGTCACATGGGGCCAATTCGTCTTAAGATCGTAACACGTATTTCAATAGTCCAACAACTAAGGATTTTTCTTCGCCAGTTCTTGAATCTCTCGTAGGACCTGAGCATCCGACTTCCACATGAGTGACAGCCATACAGGATATCTGAAAATCCATCCAAATAGATATGGCCGGACTATGACATGGAGATGTAAATGATGAATCGAGATAATATCTGGGTAAAATATGTCTCCCAGTAGCGGGCGTCGCCCCCTGTGGTAACCCGAGTGTATATCTGAGGAGGGCAAATCGGGACATTGAGACTCGAGCAGGCGATGCTTCACCCCATCCATGGCCTGTACTACGTTTTGGGACATCCATAAGTTATAGCTCTTTGAAATGCGGATTTCGTCTTATCTTCTTACAGAGTGAGAGATGGTCACCGTTTAAACCCTCAATATCACGAGCAACATGCTTCTTTGGTATAATAAGCCAATGAAACTGGCCCGAAGACCGAATATTGTCAACTGCAATTAAATTCTCATCCTATATATCATCGTGAGTCAGACATGTCGAGATCATTTAGAGCTTAATATGGAACAACTCACTTCGTAGACGATACTGGCGAAGTTCGTCCGATCGCAGAACTTGCAAACATGCTGAACTTGTTCTGTCCACTCAAGACTTATCAAGTAGCTGATAAATTTCTTGATAGATTCCATCTGAGCGATTGATGCGCCGAGTCGAATATCATCCTTGCCGGAAGTTTTATACGACGGTCAGACCATCTGTGGCTGAGGGCGGGGCGCAGGAGCCCGAGAGCGCCAACTGTGGCGGTGTCCGAGGCAGCAGACCAACAGGAACGTTTGGAGGCCTGTTGGTTAGCACCAAGATTTGGAGAACACGAAGCTCTGAGATGACTGGGTTCTATGGGAGGCGCACGAATTGCTGATGTGGAGAAATTGTCCGCAACGTCGGCCTGGAAAATAAGGCCACGTAGCCACAAAACTGAATGTATTCTTCAACATCACTTAAATGAAGAACACACCATACCACCAGAAAATTAATAAGATATTGACAACAGAACCCTTGACTGCCGGATCCCTGCTTTGCCAACCGTGAATGTCTAGCAGCATCACTTCCTTTAAGCTTGTCACTGTGCTACCTTTCGTAGGTAATGGTTAGAAGCTAAAGCTTTAGACTCGAGATATATACCTTGGAAACAACGTGGGATTCCTTTTGGGCTTCCTCAAAGATTTAGACACCACAGCACCACCTGGTTAGCGCGTCTGTACCTCAAATGCCATGCGGCATTGATTGTCGAATTTAGAAATGATACAGCGGTCCGAGACATCAGTGAATGATTCATTTCCGGTTCCTCCGAGTCCTACTATTCTGCATGGCTTAGCTGAAGTAGATGATCTACACGGGCGCAACTGGAAAATGAGCATTGAGATACTGTACAATAGACATTCGGATCGGCATGATATTTTAAGAATTGGACAAATAGGAAAAATGTGGTTAACTTAATCCCCACAGAGGTAAATAAAGTGAATAACTGAATCCACATCTTTCCAGAATTGACGGAGGAATGTCTCAAAACTATTTTCCAAGGTCCACTTTTCCCCTGTTCAACTATCAAAGCCGTTAGGGCAAGTCGACGATCCAGTGGAGAACAAGCCCGACACTAAGCTTCGCAGGGAATAGATTATCGCCAACAATTCAAGAGTAAACCACGGTTCAGCTCCGTGAATGGCCCTAGTTTCACTTGTTCGCTCAGTTGGGAAATAGCCTGGCCCATCAAGTTCCTGGTCCCAATTTTCTCCTGAATGTTTTCAATGTTCCTCAAAAGTCGAATGAATCCCTAGAATGTCTGTTGACAGCCAAGATGTCGCAGTTTAAGAATGAGTATCCGCTCACTTATGTGCGATTAGACGACCCGCCAGTGACTCAGACAGGTAAGACACGACCATTGTCTACGGCAGAGCAAAAGGCGGTTCTCCAGTCTCAGTCATTTTTCTGGGGTTCAAGCTGGACCCTGGAAATTCTGAGTTGTCTCACGTCGGTCGTGTTTCTGGTTGCGATTATTGTGGTGCTGTACGAGTACGATGGAAAGCCTATGCCTGATTGGCCGTATGGCATCACGCTTAACGCGTTGGTCTCAGTGCTATCCACTGCGATGAAGGCTTCTATGGTTTTCATTGTTTGTGAGGGTCTGTCGCAGCTCAAATGGTCGTGGTTCAGCAGTGGAAATAAGCTCAGTGACTTGGCGCTGCTAGATGCTGCTAGTCGCGGACCGGCAGGGGCCATTCTTGCGCTGTTGAGATTTGTTCCTCGGTGAGCTATCTATTCAGGTAATTGTACAACAGTTCGTTTGGACTAACATTGATAAACTTCAGCCATCTCGTGACATTCGGATGTTTAGTTCTCGTGCTGGCAGCAGCTACCGACCCCTTTGTTCAGCAGGTTATGGGAATTCAAGAGCGGTCGATTCATGCTTCTGGAAAATCATCCATCCAAGTCTGCAATTCCAGTCTGTACACCGATTATGGCGAGGGTGCTGGACCGGGCATGAACAAAGTCCCACTTTCAACTATGGGCGCCATCTACTCCGGTCTCTTCCAAGAACAGAGCCCGAACAGTAAAAATGTCATGATGGAGTGTGCAACCGGAAACTGCACATTCTCACCATATCAGTCTCTGGGCTTCTGCAGCCGCTGTTCAAATATTACGGACTCTCTAAAACTGACCAAAGAATCCTTCGGTTCTTATTCCTCATACAACTACAAACTACCCAATGGGTTCTCCTTCGACACGGCCATCAACACGAACACCATGATTAACACCACAACCTACAAACCTCTCATTAAGTTGGACACAACAGACCTCGCACTAATCCTCAACTTCACGGCCATCAGCGCATCCGGTTACGGTACACCCCCCGACGTCTCCGCAACAGAATGCGCCCTCTACTATTGTGTCGACACATACCACGCAGCAGTAAACGGCGGAGCATTCACAGAAATTGTCACCTCAACAAACGGCAAATCAAACTCCAGCTCCGAGTACACCTTCGGTAAAAATGTCGCGATCACCCCAGACACCTGCTACGTGAATGGAACGCGACGCGAGAACAAAGACACTCCGGAGTGCACCTACGAAGTAAACTACTTCAGCACGCTTGCCATGACAAACTCCGTCTCCCCACTCCTAAAAGGCAAAGGTTCTCGTCCCATCAGCAATCGACCGAGCTGGTCATCCGATACAATCGAAGCCCTCTACGGCACGTATGGCAATTACACCGAAATCAACTCCGTCTTCGAATCACTCGCCTCGTCATTGACGACCCATGCTCGATCGAAGGTCTGCAATTCCATCAAGAACGGGACTGCGTGGACGACGCAATCGTATGTCCATGTGCGCTGGCCGTGGATGATCCTCCCTATCGTGCTGGTTGTGTTGAGTTTCGTGTTCTTGGTTATTACTGTGTTCCACACGAGAAGGCAGTATATCTGGAAGTCTTCGCCGTTGGCTTTGCTTTTCTCTGATTTGAGGATTGATGGGGATGCTCCTCTTAGACCGGATCCTACGCTCAAGGGCATGGAGATTACTTCAAGGAAAATGGATGTTTATTTGGAGAGTTCGGCTGAGGGTCCCAGGCTTAAGGCTGTTCGTACTTCTTGATGTTTCTTTGGGACCTTTGTGTATATATAATTGGCAGATTTTGCTCCTGTACATTGTGTTAAAGTATAATAATGATTTATGAATTGTTAAAGATCAATTTTGTAGTTCCTTCCCTATATACACGCGGTAGCCAAAGCAGGACTAGTACACTTATATTATTGATCGAGCGTATATCGCGTGGTCAATCAAATTCATGCACTTTGGCTCTAGTGATGCTCCAATAATTTTCGTGAACCAGGGTCAACCTCGGCATCCGTGGCTGATGTTTGTCTCAGATCGCGGCCGATCGCCTGTGGATAACGTCAGCCACCGCCGGCAACCCTGGCAAAGCTTCTAAATTCCTGAGACTCATGTGAAAATATAAATACCTAGATCTGTTAGGAACTAGGTAACTGTGTTTTGAAATCCTTACCGACCTGAATATCCTAATCTCAAGCGAGAACGGCGGTCCCTTGTACCCCTTGTTTGCAACCTCAACTACGCTCAATCACTCTCCCTACGAACCATTATAATCTTATGTTCAAGCTTCTCAGAGACGTCCATCGTTATAATATTGCTTAGAACGCACTGCCTTTCGGATACCCATCCCCACAATGACAACAACACCAGCAACAGCAGCAGTATTCGGCTGCACAGGAGCAGTCGGCTCCCAAATCCTAGCAACCCTCCTATCCACAGAAACATTCGCATCGGTGAAAACAATCTCAAGAATACTACCAAATAACCAATCCTCCAAACTCCAATCCCTACAAGAACCCGACATCCTCAAATGGGCCGATATGATCTCCACCCTATCACCCAAACCCACAGCAGTTTTCAACGCAGTGGGCACGATGGGAAATGCACCGGGTGGACTAGCAAACCAATGGAAGATCGACCATGACTCAGTTATTGAGAATGCCAAAGCAGCCAAGGCGGCTGGCGTGAAAACGTATGTTTTCATTTCTAGCGCTGGGACAAGGAGTCTTCTTTGGGGGTGGGTGCCGTATTCGAGGATGAAGGTTGGGGTCGAAGATGCTATCAAGGCGATGGATTTCGAGACTGCTATTATCCTTCGTCCTGGTATGATTATTGGTAGGGAGAAGGCCAAGGTCGCGCTTCTGGAGGGTTTTATGAAAAGTTTGAATAAGCTGGGACAGGGTGTTCAGGATAAAATTGGTATAGCTCCTTATTGCTCTTTTGCTGAGAGATCATGTATGGATGAATGCTGACACAAATGCAGCTGCGGATCAGGCTGTTATTGGTCGGGCAGCTGTGGCAGCTGCTCGTATGGCCGAAGGTGGGGATGCACCGTCGAAATATTGGGTTGTGGAACAGCGTGATATTGTCAGGCTTGGGAGAGATGAGTGGAAGGAGTAATGTCCTATGGTGCTTGAAACTATGAAGTATGAGGTTTAGAGTGGTGTCGGCTAACCCCACGTTCTATGTTGTCTTAAGACAACAGTGATATATATTGATTCTAATTGCTGTCGATGTTCCCTGTAAACGGCCCAAACAGAGTAGAAGGCCGATGGAGCAAGATCGCTGCTGCCCACCTGTCCTGCTTCACCAGGCACGCAGCCTGGCCACATTCTTTTTGACACACTAAAGGCCGCGCTGGTGTTATAGATCACAGTACTAACCCTGGTAAGAGATTATCCTTCCTTAGGATTCTGTTCCCTATTGCGATTTTCGATCGTTACCAGCGTCTGTCGAAGCTGGTATCCCCACACTTAAGCTGACATGGGCCTTCGACGGGTTAGGATAAGATTTTAAGATGGCTCTACAGTAATATTCGAAATCAGATATACCCCCACACTGTCACACATTTATTTCCGAATCTCAACCTGACACGCTTATCTAAATACGGTATAGTTGACGATCCCTCGGCTCCTAGAATAGATCTTGCATTTTACATAACATGGACTGACGTACTTTACACGAAACTGTTATACACATGCTACCTCTGTTCCCCTCTTCTCTCCTGTCCGTCCCTAGCATTATTGCTTCTTGCCTCTTCACCCATACATAACTCTTCAGCATCGCCTAAATTTAGGCCTTGCAGTATTTCTCCGAGACTTCCCCCTCAAAGCTGCATCTCATCCGTGATAATGTTATTTTCGAAACAGATTCACCTATACGGCGTACACATGAATTATTTCCCCAACCCTATCTTGAAAGTGATCCCTCTTGTTCTCGTATACATACGTATGGCTTAATCTTTATTCCTCTGGAACGGTATTCTCTTCTGTAATTGAAAGGCGCGGTACAAGCACCATAGCCCTGACAAGGTCCACACTGCAGATCCTTGCTATCGTGCATGTGCTCAGCCACCCCCAGCGCGGTGAACTGTCGTCGCACTTAGTCCCAAGGCGGGCGTGAGCTATATCTCAATATTCGAACATTCAAGATGAGTTTCGGCTTTAGCGTGGGGGATTTCCTCGCGACTTTGAAACTCGCCGATGAATTGAAAAAGCGGTTTGCGCAAGCTCCCAGTGAGTTCAAGGCTATTTCTGGAGAGTAGGAAAGCCCCCGATTCTTGGAATATCCAAATGGCACTAATTATCAACAATAGGGTTAAAAGCTTGTGGGCTGTCCTCCATGATCTCAATGACATTCCGAAAGAGGGCCTCAGCGTGCACCAGAAAAGCGAAATGGAATCAATTGTTCAAAAAGGCCGTGAGGTGCTGCTAGAGATTGAAAGCAAGTTGAGCAAGTACAACGTTCTTGCATTTGCGACTTCGAACTGGAAGAACAAGGCTCTTCGAGCATGGAGCCGAATCAATTGGGATCCGGCTGAAGTCCACAGCTTGCGGAGTCGCATCACGTCTTGCATTTCGCTTTTCAATTTGGTTATGGCGAAAATCAATCAGTATGGGAATCTTCTCATTATTTATCCCCTTCCATCTTTGCATAATCTCCTTGATATGTCCCAGAAATTGCATTGCTGATGATGTATTCAGGGATCTGACCCTGGAAATTGGAGCGGAGGTCCATTCCATGAAGGAGAATCGCGACACTCAGCTACGCAATGGAATGCTCCCATGGATTTGTGCGATAGATCCCTCGGAGCGACAAAGTAAAGTCTTTAACATGCGCCGTGAAGGAACAGGCAAATGGTTCCTGGAAAGTGAGCAATTCCTCCTCTGGATCGCCAGTGAAAAGGAAAAGACCCTGCTCTGTACTGGAGCTCCAGGGGCCGGCAAGACAGTACTTACTTCTATCGTCATTGACCATCTTGAGAAAAAGTTTTCCAATGATGACAGTGTTGCGATTACTTATATTTACTTCGACTTTCGGCAACGACTTGAATTTTCCAATCTCATTTCGAGTCTTCTTAGACAATTGCTCCAGGGGAACCCAGGCCTCTGTGGAACAATCTCTGATTTGCATTCTCGACGCCAACAAAATCCTAGTCATTTATCTGAGGAGGAAGTTCAAAAGGAACTCGAGTTGGTGATATCTCAGTGCAGCGAGGTGTTCTTTCTCATTGGCGCACTAGATGAGTGCTTGGATGTTCGTGTGCGGCGTCAGTTCCTCATATGGATCGGAAACCTTCTCAATTTCAATAGTCATACGATATTCGAATATCAAGCTCCTTGCAACCACGCGGCACGACGATAAATTTGGCAAGGCCTTTCTCAGCAAGGGTCTCACCATGGAAATCAAAGCAAGCAGAGAAGATGTGGGAATTTTTCTTGATGCAAGCCTGGATTATCTTCCGGGGTTCATTCAGAGGAAACCAGAGCTTTGGGGCTATATTCGGAATCAGATCATTGAATCCGCTGGGGGAATGTTAGTGCCACAATGCCGTACCATCCAAAATATACTAATTTTTATCCCAGGTTTCTGCTCGCCCGTCTCTATTTGAATCTACTATTGGATGAGAAGAACGAGAAAAGAGTTCGAATCCTAGGCGCTCAGTTTCAAACTGGCTCAGGCGCATACGATCATGCATATGATGACACCATGAAGAGAATTGAGCAGCAAAGCTCCTTTTCCCAGGACCTTGCCAAGAGGATTCTAGGATGGGTTACATTCTCGGCACGACCACTTACCGCTACTGAGCTGCAAGATGCTATTGCAGTCGAAATTGGAGAGCCTGAATTCGACCAAACGAACATAATAGACATCGAGGAGATGATCTCTGTCTGCTCCGGTTTGATCGTTGTAGAGGAAAACAGTAACATCGCTAAGCTTGTACATTTTACAGCTCAAGAATATCTGAAACGCACGTGCAAGTCTTGGTATCCCGATGTTCATGAATTTCTCACAAACACCTGTCTCACGTATCTGTCGTTCGACAACTTTGATGATCCTTGTTTGGCCCAAGATGAGCCTAAAGTACAGCGAGGGGAGTACCAGTTTTATCAATACTCGGCTCATGAGCTAGGGTCCCATCTCCGCCAGAGCCTTGGAAATGACTCCCTTCTCCCTGCATTCATCGGAAATGATGCCAAAGTTTCTCGGTGCATGCGAGAAATCTTCGGTCTGTCAGGAACCGAATGCGGTTTCACAGGACTCCATCTTGCCTCACTATTTGGCCTTGAACACATTGTAGAGGGATTCTCCCATACTGGCAGCAATTTCAATATCTGGGACTATCTTGGCCGCACGCCTCTTATATGGGCTGCAGGGTCTGGCAACGAGACAGTAGTCAGTCTACTACTTGACCCTGGAGCTGACCCCAACTCTGCGACAAAGGAGAGCTTCACGCCACTCTTCTACGCTGCAGCCTACGGTCATGCCGCAGTGGTTAGACTTTTGATTGATGGAGGTGCCAATGTCAATTTTAAAAACAAAAACAACGAGACCCCGGTCTTCTTCGCTGCGAAAGGTGGTGGTGGAGTCCGACTCGGTCCTAGATCACTATTCAGCATGGGTGATCATGCGTGGGTTATAAAATTGCTACTCGACGCAGGTGCTAATCTTGACCCCGAAAACGTTCGTCATGAAACCCCCTTGCATGCAGCAGCAGCAAATAATGGCCATGCGGTGGCGGTTAGACTGCTTCTTGAGAGGAACGCCAACATAAACTCATATCACAGTAACTATTGCGGTCTCGAGCTCATCCCAGCAGCTCCTCTGACCGCCGCAGCAAGAAAGGGCCACGTCAAAATCACCAAAATGCTCCTTGAAAGTGGTGCAGACACTCCATTCCTGTTAAAGAACACAAATCTGCCGCCTTCCTCTTATGCGCTGTCTTGTTTATCAAAGTCAGCTATAGGTGAAGACGAAAGTTCTTTCACAGCAATACTTCAAGAGTCTGGTGACCCAAGCTTCCGAGATGAGTTCGAGCGCCTTCCATTGCACTGGGCAGCTTCGCGAGGCGACGGCATTTTGGTGCAGCGCATTTTGAAGGCCGGATGTAACTCGAATCCCAAGGACATATTTGGCAGAACACCATTGTTTGCAGCCGTTTGTAGGGACAGAGTTAACGTTGTGAAAGTGTTGCTTGACCACCCCGACATCGACGCCCAAATTGAAGACAAGCTGGGATTTACTCCCCTTCAAGAGTCCAGTAGAAGACAAAGGTCCTCTATCAAAGTCTCTTTTTCCACGGGAGAAAACAGTGTAGGACCTTGGGATGAGGTTACCAATCTTCTCAAAGTCAAGACTGGACTGCGTGAGGAATGTCTACTCAACGCCAACGTCCCCCTTATCCCCAGATATGATCTCCCGCAAGCGGCCTTTTACAGATATTGTGATGTCTGTCTTAGGAACATGTTAGGCGGTTCAGAATGCGAGAGCTGCAACATAGTCACTAAGAAGGACGGCACTTCTGGGGGCACTGTTATATATTGTGAATTCTGCATTCCGGGGGTAAAAGATTGTCCACTTTGTGGGCAATCGTTTTGAGAAGTGAGCATATGCCGAGGATCTCTATATTGCAACGCGACTTGATTAAACCGAGTCAGTCATATTGAGTTAGTGCACAAGTTGCTGTTGGAGAAAGCGAACAGCCATTGCCCATTTAGGCTTCGTTTGATTTCCATAAGTGTGTACAAAGTGTGATCAGAGATATAAATTCTCAATATGAGGACTTGATTGAAGAGAACAAACCAAAATGTAAAGCTGCAATAGTGACCGTTCATCCCAGTATCATCAAGGCCAGGTAGGTCAGGGCCTCAGAGTCTAACCAGCTGGAAAGGATACCCTCGCAGACTGATCCTGGTGACCAGACCACGGGTGTTTTGGGTGGGCTTGAGGGGAGGGAGGGTTGTTCCCGAGGATTTTGAGGTCGTGTGTTTTGCAGTCGTTTGTTAGGGCGGATCATCCGCCTTCTGTTTTTGTTCATGGCCTTGCTGAGGAGGATGTTCCGGCTGAGGACTGTGTTTTCATAACGGGCAGTTGCAGAGGTTGGGGTTGAGAGTGAGTTGTTTTCTGTCGAGAGGGACCCTCATGGGCTTTTGGAGTTTGCGCTTGATCCTACTTCCGAGGTTAGGAGAGCTACGACGAAGGCGTATGATGAGGCTCTCGGATTTATAGATCGGGTTTTTGGGCGCGATGTGGGAGCTCAGGGTGCGGTTAAACTATGAGAGAAATGTAATAGCCTAGAAGGCCACCTTTGAGAGACGTTATTTACGGTACGTTTCAAGACTTTATCCAGATCTACGCAAGGCTATCATAGCGAACACTTAGTTGATGAAGAATGCGATTCACTAAAATAATGTACAGGAAATCTAAAACACATCTTGAATTGTAATGTATTTCAACGAAAGTAAGAAAATAGCACATGAAAACAAGTCACGAAGTATCATAAGACAGGTTAAGGTGATTGAGGTATCATCCGACCAATCACTCCGAATCGCTCAATAAAATGAATGCGCTTAGAAGGTGAAGGCAAGAGCCAGAGCAGCGATCAGGGCACCGGCAGCGGAGCCAGTGACACGGGCAGCGGAGCCAGTGTAGGCGCTGGAGGAGGGAGAGGTGGAAGAAGAGGAGGAAGATCCAGAGCCGGAAGCAGCGTCGGAGCCGGAGGTAGAAGATCCGGAGCCGGAGGAGCTGGAACCAGAGCCAGAGGTGGACGAACCGGAGCTGGTGGAGGCAGCACCGGTGGCAGAGGCGGAGGCGGATGCGGAGGCAGAGGCGCTCTTGGAAGCCTTAGGCTTGGTGGAGGGGCGGCCAGTCACGGAGGCGGAGGCAGAGCTCGCAGGGGAAGCAGAGCCGGAGCCGGAAGCAGAGCCAGAGCTGGAGCTGGAGTCGGAGCTGGAGGCATCAGAGGCAGACCCGGAGGCGGAAGAGGAGCTGGAGCCAGTGGCAGAGGCAGGGGCAGCGGAAGAAACGAAGCCGGACTTCTCGGCGGCCAGGCCAGTGTTGGAAGAGGCGGCGGCGGAGCTGGAGGAAGAGGAGGCCTTGCAGGTGAGGTCGTACAGAGGGGTGGTGTTGTCACCGGAGCTGGAGACGCCGAAGCTGGGGCTGGCACCCTCCTCGTTGAGGATGTACCACCAGGTGTTGGTGTTGCCAAAGAGAGGGCAGGCAACCTCATCCCAGTACTGCTTAGCGTTGGCAGTGCTGGCAACAGCCAGGTTCTGGTTGTCACCGGTCACGGGCCAACCGGTCTCAGTGATCCAGACCTCCTTGTTGCCGGCGACGGCCTTGGTATTGGCGACACCGGTATCGAAGAGGGACTTGGCGTCGTCAATGGAGTTGGCCTTGGTGTTCTCGTAGAAGGGGTATCCGTCAAAGCCGAGCCAGTCAACGGCCTCGATGACAGCAGAGTTGGAGCTGTTGGACCAGGAGTTCCAGGTATCGACGTGACCGATGGAGGCACCGCTCAGGGTGGTGCCGGAGATGGCGGAGCGGACCTGGTTGATGTAGTCAACGAGCTCGGAGGGCTCAATACCGACACCAGCGTTGGCCTCGACACCGGTCTGCGAGTTACGGTAAAGATCCTCGCTGCCGACGGAGATACCGACGACGAGCTTGGTGAAGTCCTCACCGTAGGTGTCAATGGCGGACTTGAGAGCGGCGATCTCGTTGGCCATGCCACCACCGGAGGCCCAGAGACCGAGGAGAAGGGTAACCTTTTGCTTGATGGCTGCGGGGATAGCCTCAATGGGGCCGTTGGTGGTGCCACCCTGGATCATGGTGTAAAGGCGGGCACTGGTGAAGGCATTGTCAGTACCAACGAGGTTCTTGGCAGTGTTGAACTCGGTCTCGAAGTCGGACTGCGTCTTGACAGTGCCGTCAACCTTGGTGGCACCGTAGTTGAAACCCTGAAAGACAGCCTCGGAGGTAGCGACGGCCATCGCGAGGGCAAGGAACTGAACGGAACGCATTTTGAAAGTGAAACGAAACGAGTGTTTGATAGACAAATGAAAGAATTGGAGATGTGTGAAAGAAGAAAGAAAAAGCCTGGAGTAAAAGAATGTAGCCAGGGAAAGAAGATGAAGAAGATGAAGAGACAAGAGACACAAATGGGAAAGAACAGGATAGAAGAAGGAACGAGAGTCGAGCCTGGACAATGAAAACTCGGTCTAGATTCCGCCACTGCGCAGAGTTGCGGATCGGGTGGGGCGAGACACGTTTGCCGGCCCACTTTAACTTTGGTTCCTTCCAGCCGATTGGCTAAATCAGGACCTGACTGGTTCTAATTTTGTGCAAAATTAGTGGGTCTCGAAGGCTTCAGTCGATGATTTGCCCGATTCCCCCGGATATTCCCATCCGTTTCGCTGCCCTTTTTCTCCGTCCGTGGATCGGTCAATTGAAAATCTTTTGACCCTGCCCTGAGCCCTATGTCATGCGTGGGTCGGAAGGCGAGGACGGATACAGTGCAGACATTCTCGGAGACACCCTTGACGGGCGGGGACTCCGCTAACGTCCATTCTGATCAGGGGTTTATTAATCTCCTTATATTGCCTATTATTAGATCACCCCTTTATGACTTGAGATCTGATAGATTCGGGATTGGCAGGGGGATCAACGTGCTGCTTGTGCTTTTCTTAGACCACATCTGGACCGATGTCTTGGAACTATTGAGTATTGTTAATCTATATCCCTTGTTCTCTATTTTACTGTAGACATCCAGGTTCGTTTGATCTGATATTTTTTGTAATGAATAGTAAGTAACATTGGAATTCATTCATGGAGGTGCCCGAAGTACCCGAAGACAATGCGATTCACACTCCGGATGTGTGGGGCCACCCTCGGATACCACCGTCACTCTTGGCAGCCACTTCGACGTGGGATACTCCCATCCTGATCCATCATGTTGGAGATTAACTCAAAAAGGCAGATCAAACCTACTGCAACTGCCAGTGATGCGAAGTTTCTCTAAATGAGATTGAGCAGAGGCAATGGCTTTTCCAGCAGGTCTGTGCTATAACAGAGCCATACATCTGTATATAGTGCCATGAAGTACTTGGATAGTTTATACGAAACCTCGAAGCGAGCGTAACATTTTATGCATTGGTTTTGCCCTACTTTGCCCTCTCTCTTTCGCCTCTTTTTGCCCATTTTCGAGTGCCGCGGCTGAATCATATAAATTATATGAAGGTGGGGGTATGAAAGGACTTACGGCCTATGGCTGTATACGAAGAAACAGATCTCAGAATAATACTTGCAATTGCTTTCTTGTAGATGGCTCGATGCAACAAGTCATGTTTTGTCAACACTCCGAGGTCTCTGCTCCGGCAACATATACAGAAGACTACGAGGCTTGAAGATGATAAGTTGTTATGAAAGGTAAACTAATGATTCTTGAACTGGCACATGTTAGGTGGTCGTTGAAACCAATAGTACAGCACTTGCTTTATACCTAACTATAGTCGCAGTCTATCCTGCAACAGCAGTGGAGCCAAACATGTTAGTCTTGTATGTACCCGAGCCGTAAGGCTGAAACCTTTCCCTCTGTTTTCGAGTCCAGTACCTTTGGGTTGAACAATGATTTTATTTTTTTTGGGAGGTAATCTGGGTTTCATCGTTATATTTCTGTTTTCCAGTAGCACAGCGTGGTATCATTACACCTGGCTGCGCTTCATGGGGCGTTATGCTGTGATTTGTTAAAGGTATACTCTGGAATCGGTCAACTTGAGCAAGAGAAGGGTGTGAGCCTGTCAGGACTCATAATAATAATACAGTAGAAGCCCGAGTTGAAGTAAATGCCAGCTGTGCTGTAATCAGCTGTTATCAACCCCTTGATAACTGAAAGTGGGGTAAACACAAAGATCGCAACCTTCCTTCCTACATCAACTCAAATCATGGAGATCACTAAGCAACATGTCGAAAACGTCTTGAATGACATTGCGCGGCGCTGCCGAGGCCCAGGGGGTGCGGTTGCCGTCGTCAAAGATGGCGAAGTCATCGGCCAGCGGATCTGGGGCTTTGCTGACCTGGACACATTGACTACCCTCACAGCCGAGACACTCTTTCCCATTTGTTCAATAACTAAGCAATTTGTCTGTGCTCTTTTGATTGATTTAGAACGAAACCCTTCTCCAGCCTTGGCTGCTCAAGGCGATGTTCGGCAGCAGCTCTCAGCTCATCTGAGAGACCTGCTAAGCCCAGAACTGAAGGACAGTGGCTTGACGATTGACCAACTATGCAGCATGCAATCTGGTATGCGCGACTACTGGGCTATGACCACTCTAATGGGCGCGAAGCCCGATGACGAGTTTTTGATTGCCAGGGATTGTCCTCCAATGCTTGAGCTCACCAAATCATTCCAATTCGAGCCAGGGACGGAGTTTTCTTATTGCAACCTCAACTTCCACATTGTTGCTCAAGCAATTGAACGTGCCACGGGTGAATCTCTCGGGAAGCTGCTCGAAGAGCGAGTTCTCCGACCGGCCGGCATGGCCACGGCTTTCCTCTGCCCGAATACCTCAAAACACCCGCCTCCCTGTGTGGGCTACGAAGGAGACGAAGGTCACGGATACGTGCCAGCAGTCAACCGAATGGAATGGGCTGGTGATGCTGGACTCGTCGCCTCGCTGACTGATATGATCGCCTACGAGAAGTATCTCGATCGATGTTCTTCTGATCCAGTCAGCTGGTACAATGAAGCCATTGCAACGCCTAAGTACAAGGATGGTACTCCCGCGAGGTATCGGTTTGGGTTGGGTCATGTTGACATTGATGGCGTGCATACAATCGGCCACGGTGGTGCGCTGCGAGGATATCGACTGCACCGGCGTCATGCACCAGCAGAGCGCCTCTCTGTCGTTGTTTTGTTCAACAACGACGCAGACGCGAGTGGACCAAATATTGATATCTTCCGAGCTCTGCTAAATCTTCCTAAGCCTGAGGTGACATCCATCCAACCAGCCAACGAATGGTTCGGCGCCTTCCTTGATATGGACACCCAGTTGTCGATTGTCGTTACCAAGGCTGAGAAGCAAGGGGAGGTAGCGATCAGCTACGCTGGATCCCCAGAACCAATCCGGCTCAACTCCCCAGTCTCCGGTAAATCCAACTCCATGATCGCAACAATCGATGGAGACTCATTAATTATTCACCGCCTGGGCGACAATCGCAAGCTCGCTGCTCGGCGCATTACTCCTAAGGAATCTGTACTTAAAGAAGATTCTTTCCAGGGTCCATATCACTGCGCCGAGATTAATTCTACCTTCCACTGCTTCGGTGAAGCAGGCGTGTTTTATGGTATATTCGCTGGGTACCTGGGTCGGGGGCATGCAACGCCCATGCGATATCTCGGAGACGATGTCTGGGTCTTAACCTGCCCTCGTGGTCTGGATGCACCGGCTCCAGGGGACTGGACTGTAGTGTTCCGACGAGATGAGCAGGGTTCTGTCGCCGGATTTACAATTGGCTGTTGGTTGGCCAGGGGGCTCAAGTATGAAAAATGGCCGAAGCATACATGAGAATGAAAAGTATGCCGTTCGATCTGATTGATTCTGAATGATCATGAGTAAGCCAGTCGGCAATATGCTTTCCGCTACATCATATATCCAATTATCCTATTATCCAATTGTATCCCCCGTTTCTAACTCTCGTACTCATCATCCCCATCCGGACGAAAGAACTCTCCCAGGGTCAACTCCTCAAACAACGAATATCATTGGAAGGTAGCGGCATAAGAAAACAGCGAAGGCATACTGCGATCATACTCCATAGTGGGCTAATGATACCTTGTTGTAGCGCCATGTCCAGTCGACAACATAGAGATCTCATCCTGACCATGCTCAATGGCAAATAAAAGCAACTTCCACGCTTGCGGCACACCATCAGGGTGAGCTGTGAGATACTGAGGCGGGAAGTTTCCAACGTTGGGCATTGTAACTAGGTCCTGACCAACCTTGGAAGCCAATATGAGCTATGGTTGTTATGTAGCGGATAGGCAAACCATGGCATGGGTCTCGGTCGGATGAGTTGAGCTGTTCAAGGCTTTCAATCATCAGCTAGTGGAAGTGGCGCCTGACGGTTCCAGCTCTAGTACATCAAGGTGGCATCTAAGATAGCCAAAGATAATGAACAGGAGCTCGTTTGGAAAGTTTTCGAAAGGCATCTTTGGCGGTGATGCACGGAACTACTTCACCGATGTTGAAAATTGATTGGAAAAGCCGACTGAATGAACCGGGTATATGGCTGTCATTCCAGGGGTATTCCATTTACAAATCGACGGAAGAGCTCGCGTGATGAACAGCCCTGACTAAATAAAGACCGTGGTTGCTAGTGACCATGGTGTAGCGGGGGAACAGACTTCTAAGGCGCATTGGAGTATTTGCATTGTCCTCCAGGGATTGGTCCAGGTGTGATAGAGCGATAGTCCATTTCAAATCCTCTTTAATTACTGCTTGTACATATCCCTCTTTCTCTGAACGGCTATGAAGCATATGTGCGAACATGGTTCACCACCAGACCAGCCTCTTCCTGAAGCATCCCATGCCAAGCTCGATCACAACGCAGAGCTGGCGTGCAGCTACCTGTTCTAGTTTGTGGTCTTTAACCAATGAAGAACAGTTGCTAACTTGCTCCTATTTTTCTGTGCCTGAAGATGCGCGTCGTCCTTTACTTGGCCGGAGGTGAATGAGTTCACCTGACCTCATTCTCTGAGAAAGGCTACTCAGAAAAAAACTTCTCGAACCGATTGATCCAGGTTTCTTGAGACCGCTGGCCTGGCTCGGGGCGGCTACTCGAACGGTTTTGATTGGTTTGACACATGCAGCGGCTGTATTGACTGAGCGCGGACATAATGCGGAACAGATTGCGGCACTAAACATGCAGGAGGGTTGTGGCATAAGCTAATTGGCTCTCTGAACATATTGAGGGCGCGGAATGAGCGCTAGTCTGTCGAGCCTCATTCTCCAAGGCACTTGAGGCGCAAGCACACTTGGGTTCAGCTGCAGAGAGGGGCTATAGCTGAATTTACCTGCAGCTGACCGCGTAGGCAACACTACTTAGGCAGCAAATCGATTTCACTTTGCTGCCCAAAATACCACGGAGCTTCAAGCAATTCAGACGAGGGAACTTTGTCCAATATATCCTTAATACAATTATCTATCGCCAAAATGTCAACTCTTTCAGATGACGAAGCCATTGCCCGACTCCAACAAGATTTTCTTTCTACAATTAGTTCGGTGGTAGAAAAGCCAAATTCGGTGGTGAAGAAGCCGAAGTTACTGAAGAAAAATATTAGAAGACTGGAGACATACCTGAACAATCCGCACCTTGAAGTCAACTTTGAAATAGACGGCTTCTCGCCTTTGGAAAAGGCAACGTCAAGATGGTGGGTGCTTGAAAAGCTCTTGGAGCTCAAGAGCCTTGACCTGAACTTTCGCACGCCAGATGGCCGAACGAGTATCTTTTCTGCAATCGAGTCACCCCAAACTGATTCTTTAAAGCTTCTTCTTCAAAAAGGAGCCGCCGTTGATGTGGTTGATAACAAAGGCCGTACGGCGATTTCAGTAGCTGCAGAATATGGTCGAATTGATCATATGAAGCATCTCGTCCAATCCAACGCAAACATAAATGTGAAAGACGTGAATGGATGGACTCCAATTTCATTTGCAATTTCAAGAAGCCAAAATGATTCAAATGATTCGACGAAGTACCTGCTATCGCAGAAAGACATTCATCTAAGCAACCACGACACCGACGGACGGACATTAGCGGTTATTGCTGCACAGGGTGAAAACATTGAAGGTCTAAGGCTTCTGCTCGATGCAAATATTACTGTCACCCCAATGGACAGAATCGAGCATAGCCCTTTGCTATGGGCTATTCTCCAAATGGATACCATCACCGCTCGCCTGATTCTCAGGGCTGATCGTAGCCTTGTTGATTATAAGGTGCAAGGCAGGACTCCACTGTCGATAGCCACAGAGATTGGTGACATCGATATGATAAAGCTTCTAGTTGAGTTAGGGGCTAATGTAAATCTGGCGGATGATTTCGTTTGGCCTTCCCTGAGAGACTTTTCATTCAAAAGCTATTTTCCATCCGATGAATTTCTTCGGGAGGTTGATTGCTTTGTGGAAGGTGCTAGATGTGGCACAAATTGTCGAAAGCCGCTGCTTGTTGCTGCTGAATTCCAGCATTCAGAAGTATTAAACCTCCTTCTAGAGGCAAAGGCAGACATAAATACGAGAGACGCGGAAGGGCGGACAGCACTTACCTGGGCAATCAGTCGAAAACTGGAAAAGACGGTCGAACTATTGCTCTCGAACCCTGAGATCGATATAAATTGTCGGGATATGAATGGCCAATCTCCGTTTGCACTTGCCGCTGGTATGGGCAATGTATGCATGTTGGAAAAGCTCCTCAAGCAAGGTCCAGATGTGAACTCAGAGGACGACAACCAAAAAACACCGCTATTGTTAGCTGCCACAAATAGGTGCCTAGAGGCAGTTGAATTCCTGTTGAAAATCCCGGAGATAGACGTGGATCATGTGGATGACCATGGACGAACGCCTTTCTCTTTCGCGGCAGAAAAGGACTCATTACCAATTATGCAAGCGCTCCTTAATAAACAAGCCGATCCACACAGACTTGATAATCGGGGCTGCACGAGCTTTTGGTGGTTCCTTCAAACACGACACGCGTGGCTTAGCTCACCACAGCCGCCAAATGTTGCAGACTGGGATCCGTCAAGTCTACAAGCCTTGATCTGTGCCCTACCAACGCCCTACAAGAAAGACCCTTCCGGTCGAGACTGGCTGTCTTGGGCCGCTTCATATGGTGATGAAGAGATCGTGAGATGCCTTCTGCAGTGCGGCGAGGAGGTCAACGTCAATGCCCGAGACGATACCCGGGAGACTTTCTCGAAGACTCCGCTAATATGGGCGTTGGAGGGAGAGCACGACTCTGTAATAGATCTGCTCAAAGATGGTGACAATATTTCATTGCATTTACTGGTCGAGGGGATAAGATCCGCGAGTAAAGAGTATTGTTTAAGACTTATGAGAGCACTCTTGCAGGCAGGTTACAATCTCAATCAAACCGACATGAACGGACGGACTCCTCTACACAGTGCGTGCCGGACAGACGACAAAGAAATAGTTTCCATTCTCATCAATGCCAATGCCAAACTCAGTTGCAAGGATCATACTGGAAATACCCCTCTGCAAATCGCATTGCACGCGAAAAGCAAAATTGTCGTGGATACCCTTCTGAAAGCTCCCTCGGTGGACCTGAACCCTGTCAGGTCAGAAGAGTGGTTCAGCCTTGGGAAAAGACGGGCTGCGTGGGCTCAGGTCACAAAGAAAATAGGCAATGAGGGGTTCGAATTGAAACTGGAGAACGATATTGCATGTGTCTTCTTGCCGTGTGCGAGGGAGATCCGTCTTAGGTGAGTGGTTTATACTTAAACGGATAGCGTTTAGGCTCACTGCTGTTTCTAGTCTTTGTGGAGACAAATCTGTTTGGTCAAAGTTGTCCGGGATTTTAGGCATAAAAGATCTCCTTACGGGCCAAGAAAAGTATTTGAAACACGCTCAGAGAGGCTTCGGCAATCAACTTGTTACATACGTACAGATTGAGTTCCCTGAAGAGGCAGGGGAGGAATTTCATTGCCCGTGGGGTATCGCCTGGATCAGCCGTCAGACAACGGACGGCCCTGCTCACGCGTTTATCAGCACTCTTCCCGACGGATGGATACCAAATGACTTTGCTGATTTTTTGGAGCAGTTTTTAAAGACTGTACGGCAGCGATGGAAAGAGATGTGTTCCCACGCAAGCAGAAAAGTTGAGCATTTGGTGAGTGACCAAATTGATTTCTCCAGAATGCCAAGCTTAATGAGTCCGTAAATCACAGCGAGGTGAGCAGGTAAGGAAAAAAGGGAAAAGCCTGAATTTGGTTGATCGACTTGCCAAAAACTCCCGATCGCGCGCAAGACTTCGGCAATGCCTAGAGTCGCATACTGAGCAGCTCGCGGAGATGGTTACGCTCAATACTTCACTTGATTTGAATCAGAAATCACGCATCACAAAGGCTATTGATGAGATTGAGCACAGCGTGACCGCGAGACTTGACTATTTAGAGCAGGCTGTACGAGAACTTTTGCAGATTGTGAGTTTGCAGCTAAAGCTTTTGCTTTCTGACACTAAAATGACATGAACTCCTACAGGAACTTGCTTGGATTTCCACGAACGAGTCCGCCAGTTTCAAACGCCTAAGTTGGATTACCGTGAGTATTTCGGACACTTCCATCGTGGAATTGCTAACATTCAACCTGCCAGTTCGTCTATTTACCTTTGATGTTTGTGTCCGTGAGTTATGCACCATATCCTATCTATTGCAACGAGACTGACAAACAACATCAGAGCCTTTTTGGGATGAATGTGAACTTGCTTAAGGATTATCCCGACTGGAGATGGTACTTGCTTTTTAGTGGATTATCGCTAGTTCTAACCGGGACTCTATGGATAACATTTAAATTTCTCTACGCGAGGAAGACTTCGAGTTTCTACTTCAACGGCTGATTTCTCTGAAGTCTCTAGGAGCATACCAAAATATACACTGCTTAGACAATTGGAGAAGTCATTTCAACGCCAGCGTAACTATATTTGTTCGCAATCCGAACCAGGAATCTAAATCTAGTACGACATATATCGCATGGTTCCGTGCCCTATGTGGCTATTATTGATTTTGACGAGGCCCTATTTCTTACTCGACGTTGTTGCGGAAGAACGGATTTCTAAGGCGCATTGGAGTATTTGCATCGTGCTCCAGGGATTGGTCCAGGTGTGATATAGCTATGTTCCATTTCAAATCCTATTTAATCACTGCTTGTACATATCCCTCTTTCTCTGAATGGCTGTAGAGCATATGCGCGAACATGGTTCACCACCAGACCAGCCTCTTCCTGAAACATCCCGTGCCAACCTCGATCACAACGTAGAGCTGGCGTGCAGCTGCCTGCTCTAGTTTGTGGTCTTGAACTAATGAAAGAACAGTTGCTAACTTGCTCCTATTTTTCCGTGCCTGAAGATGCGCGCCGTCCTTTACTTGGCCGGAGGTGAGTGAGGGTTAGGATGACGTGGTCGGTCGTGAGGACTGGGACGAAGTGGAATACCTCTCGGTCGACCACCCTTCATACACGCGTGTTATAAGACAATACGAGGGACATGTGCCGAGCAGCAAGAGATCATAGAAACAGGAAGGGCTTCGACTTTGCTGAGCGTTGCTTTCAAGGTGCTCTCTAACTTTAAGGATTTGATATTGGTATTCCGCCAAACACGGGGCCACAAGGATTGGGAGGGAGATTATCAAGAGTTGTATAATATGACAGAACAAAGTCCTATGAGCACCATATCCAGCTGATCCTGGCTGCTATACAGGGTCACAGGGTGACTTTAAAGGCTATTCAGCGCACCTTTTTTTTATCGAAATATCCTGACAATCCTCCGTCGGAAAGGTACCGTTGGAATTCTCTGAAAACTCCTCTCACTGAGCTCCTAGGATACGCCCCAAGCTTACGGCTTATCGGAAGCGACTTCCCTTTGGTATTATTGTATCGCGCAAGTCTGAAGATACATGAGTTAGCATAAACTTATGCTCAATATAACGTTTCATGCACCTGTAGAGAGCTCTATACAATGCAACGCTGAGTCCTTACGCTCTCCCGGTGTTCACGATGTCAAAGTCATTGACTAGGGAAAACATACCTCTTTGACACCAGCACACGTTGGCGACATGACTGGCTTAACAATTGAAAGAGGAAAAAGGCTTCATAAGCTCTCATCTCCGTGCTCATTCGAGGAGAATGGAAGTTGTTCTTTAATGACGGTGGACTTGTTTCTGTTCCCAAAGCTTAGGAAAAGTAAACCGAGACCTTCATAGAAGCCGTTGTTACTATGCTTGATTCGTTGAAACATGACACAACTTGGCCCAACTGCCTTTCTATCATTTCTTAATTTTTACTCTTGATCACAATTGGATTCCTATGTTACCGTGTGTAGATTGTTAAAGTAGATGTTTAGGGTGGCCGGGCCGCTTGTGAATTACGTTAGGCTGGCGGGGGTATTAGTAATCTCATTTATACAAGGAAAACGCTTCGCCGCAGCTTCGCATGCAGAGGTAATGCTGGTTCGAAGGTTAAGATTAGTTTTCTCCATTCCATTCGGGTTAGCTCGTGACCTTTGTTGTGTATTAGTAAATCCTCCTTTCCGTACCCCGTTCTCACCCTTAGCGCCTTGGGCGGAACTTCAGGCATCACTATCCCCCCGTGCCGTATTTTGCTTTTGATCCCTTTCAGTTTCTACCCATTGCACTACAAATGGCGCCTCTCAACTTCCTGATAGCAGGCTTGAACTTCACGCGGGCTGAGACTGTCGGGGCTGGATTCTATCGATTTGTGGCAGACCGCTCTCTGGTCTTGTCCGGCGCGGAAATCCTCTCTGAGGCCTGGTCAGAGGAATCATGGTTGACAAAAGCCTCAGAGTGGCTTTCACGTCCCGGTGAGGAAATTCAGTTTTCTGCTTCAAAACCATAATATTAACGGATTGTCAAAGATGTTCTCGCAATAATCACCGCTTGGTGGATCACCTTCTCCATTGTCATTACAATTATACTGTGCCTTGGGTTTGGGCCTGGAGGGATTGTTGCAGGTTTGTCATATTCGCGTGTCGCTCGTTGGGTGAGCACCGAGGGCTTCTGCAAGCTGACACGTTAGATAGGTTCCCTAGCGGCCGCTTTTCAATCCTTCATGTATGGTGGATTTACTCCAGCAAGCGGTATCTTTGCGACATTGACTAGTATGGCGATGATCGGCATACTCATGCCTTTCGCAGTGATACTTGCGTGTACGCTCGCAACTGCAGTTGCTGTGATTGTTTGGAAAGCCGGGTGTGGATTGCCATGACGGGGTTTTGAAGCTTGACTCTCGCATGAGGTATGGTGACTGCGCAGAGGATATGGATTCGGTATACATTGAATTAGGAAAGTTTATGGATGAAAAAGAATGTTAGCAAAATGCCAGATCAGGCAAACAATATTTTTATTCTAGCCGCCGCCAAGAGATCCGGGGCACGGGCCCGGCCCCGGCCCGCCTTGCAAACTAACTTTAGCTTCCAATGATAGCCGGAGGAGACACTTCCAAATATTATTGCACAGAGGCGGAAAGAAATGCTTAATGATTGATGTAGGGCAAGACTGAGGGCTGTGATCAGGATCAAAGACCTAATCCGATTCTTGAGTGTTGTTATCAGAGAAAAAGCGTTCGAGATACATGGCTTTTTACCTCTCGTCGGGCCGATTACGCCTTGTCAGCCTGCAAGCTGAGGCGGGCACGTTCGTCCAAGTCTCAAATTCAGACGGCAAGGCTCAGCAGGATCGCTTCCGACGAGGCCTGTCCGCCAATCGTCTCTATATCCAATGCACAGTGCATAGAAATACCGCACGAGTGACCAGCTTCTCATTCGAACACGGATGGGTCCTCGAAAATCGCGGCCATTGCATTGATCGGCCAGGTTGTGACCAAGTCTCGAGCGCCCAATAGTTATACTGTGCGGAAGACTTCGATCCTATCTCTGGGACAGCTTATCATAGAATACAGACCAGCTAAAACGGCCTGGATCTGAATATCTTGGTCGTGTGCGGAGTTTTCGGCTATCTGGGGTTTAGAGTGCGTCGATGATCAGGTGTTTTATTCGAAGACTTGCAAAGCTGCCTGGCGACTGAGCTTTACTAGTGGAATACCCCCTTACCTTACGGGGCTTAGAGCGATACCGTATAAATACACCAGGATTTTGGCCGTTCGGTGCCATCCCTGTAACTGCCATTTAATTGCGGGGCATGCGCAAATACTTAATGTATTATGTATGTACGCGATGTCACCATAGTTGAGTAGTACTGTTACAGCATGAGGGATTGAAAGGAATGGTGGCCTGTGTATATCTCCAATTTCGTGACTCTTTTCACTGTTGATGTTTGTTTGGCCCATCTTTCTGAAAAGACCGGCGTATGTAATTGAGAATATTAGTTGTATGAATTTGTAAGCTATATCAAGGGAACTGGGTAAAGGAGTGCCACATGCATCAAAACTATTGGTTTGAGCCCCTTGTTGTGTGGGCGGTGCTCAGATAACGAATGAGGGCGCTCATTTCCCAAAGCCTTTGAAGCATGCACCTACCGTGAGTATCTTCTTTCTGGTTGCAACGTACAACTTTTTTCCAATCTGACTCGTTGTGCTATATGCAGTCACCATGGAACAATCACATGTGGGGTTCCTTAAGCCTGATAATACCAAACAGCTTACTGGACATTAAGTAGCAATCTAAACAAGACAAGCATGGTGGTTATGTGCCTCGAGAATCGCAAAATCGCTATCCTATGCATCCAACTCCCGAGCTAGGTGCAAAGATAGGCGAGATAGTTCAAGGCACGTTTCTTAATGGAACACAACACAGTCCTTCCAATCCAGGCAAAGGCAAGCACGGCAGAGGATATGTACCAAAGAGCGCTAGGTGATTGTTTGGTCGTTCACGTTTCAGGCGTACCTATTGTAGGCTGAGTTCCATTTTAATCCACACGCCGAGGTTGTAGTAGGCTACCGTAGTTATTGTCTCTGTCTTTTAGCTAGTCGCCAGCCGCTATTTCTATATACCCTCTACCTGTTTAATATCTAGGTTAGTTTGTAGGATCTAGTTGTTGCTAAATCCTACAGTAACGAGGGTATTTAGAGCTCCTTGGCTATCCTTAACCTTGTAGGTAATGTTACGATTTCCGTAGGGAGTAATAGGGTATCCCTCAAATATAATAGACCCCTACGGTGATGTTTTTTCTATCAGGACCACTGCCTAGATCCACAGTGGGGAGCTATCTATACCGCAGATGGCACAGGATGCTGGCTGCAGTAGGAGTACCATCATGAGAATCTCTTCCAATATACGGATGTCCGGCAGCGTCAAATCACCGCCTAACAAAGGCGGACGGCCCGTAGCATCACTTCAGTCATGCTCGAGGCTTTTTGTATGATTATTTACTCGAAAAACCCACCCTGTATCTTGACGGGATGGCAATTTTCCCGTGGGACAAATTCGCTATCAAAGCAACGAAACCTAGCATCAGCCGAGCTCTTAGTCCATAGTCTGGTCCAAAAAGACTGCCCGAGTCAAGGCCCGAGAGCGCAATTTAGTCCTGCGTGACGAATATCTCCACTTTATTTCTCACTTCCAGTCTTACAACCTTGTCTATGTGGATGAGTCTGGACGTGATAAAAAGCTAGGCTTTAGGCGAACGGGTTGGTCCCCGCTAGGCATAGCACCAGTTCAAGTATCTAAATTCCATCATGATAAGCGATATCTGATACTGCCTACCTATGCCAAGATGGCAATTTTTCTGTCTCGAGTGTTCCAAGGCTCAACCGATGCGTCTGTCCTTGAGAACGTTATTGAACAGCTTCCCCAGCACCATCTAAAATGGCGCGAGCCAAAGTCTTTGATAGTCATGGACAATGCATCCTTTCACCACTCTGCAGGGGTAGAGTAGATGGTGCGGGTTTTTTTGCGGAGCTGAAAGCTTCGCATTAGCAGTCATACGAAAATAATCCGCGCTAAAAATACGATAACTTCCTCTAATGCCGTGTCGACGTGGAGTGGCATGGAATAAAATCACGTAGGGGCTTCCGGCACGCAGGACTGACCGTTGAGAAAGTATAGCGCCGCTAGCCCGTTATGCTCACTATCATATGACGAGCCACGGCTTCCGATCGAACCTAGAGAATGAAAGCAATTTATCCCGCAGCCTTATCCCGGGACAATCTACAGTTTGCAGAGCATGCCATTCTCGCCTTCGCTGTCTTCAACGTATGGTTTCACCAGTGTCGATTCTTTTATACTATCGGCGGTATGCAGCCTTAAACAACTCCAGGTTTCCTATTGCAATTTTCTAGTCTCATTGGCGATCTTGCGTTGGCCTATATCCAATCCCAGGTAACCTACTTCGCAGGAGTAGACTGCTGCAGACAACGCTCACGCTGCTCAACGCCATGGCTAAACTGGCCCAGACTGGGTCGAGTCTGATATGTCCCCCGCTGGCTTTGACAGGATATAAAGCTCCAGCAGCCACAGGCAAAGCGATGAGATTGTAAACCAACGCCCACGCGAAGTTGAACTTGATTCTCTTGAAGACAATGCGACTGAGGTCAATCAGTGTGAGCAATGAGTCCAATCGAGATGAAACAAGAATAAAATCGGCGGAGGAGATGGCAATGTCGGAACCAGAACCGATCGCAACTCCCACATCTGCCATTGTCAAGGCGGGAGAGTCATTTATCCCATCGCCTACCATGGCTATCGTCGCCCTCCTGCCTATATATTCATTTGCTCTTCCGAAAGCATTCCGAGAGGCTTTCTTCAACGTCTTTTGGAGGTATTGAATTTTCTCGGCTTTCTGGCCTGGTAGCACATTCGCAATTATGTTTTCCTGGGCGATCCCCACCATCGTACCAACAGCGGTGGCGGTTGTCGGGTTATCTCCAGATATCATCCAGACATCAATTCCCCTCTTTTTAAGTGCACGGATAGTAGCGGATGCTTCTGGTCGGAGAGGATCAGAAACTGCAAGGCTCATCACTAAGTCCCACGATGCAGAGGCAGGAAGTGGTGGCCCAGTTCCATCATCTGAGACGACTTTCATGGCTACCAACGAGATTGATTTCCCTTGAGCTTTCCACGTGTTAAGCGTCATCGAGGTGGAGTTTGGAATATGGACATTATAATCAGTCATGAGAGCCTCATTCCCGATAATGACCATCATAGTCTGCCTCGGGGCTGAGAATTTGCCTTTCATACCCTTGCCGGGTATCTCATCCAAATTTTCCACATGGACTGACGCTGTCTCCTTTGATTCGCAAAATGAGACAATGGCCTTCGCGATCGGATGGCTGCTGTTCTCCTCTAGTCTCCTGATTATGGCTCGGACTAAAGGTTCATCGCCACCAGTCACAACCTTATGGTTTGTGACCACGGGCTCTCCACCCTGTGTCAAGGTGCCGGTTTTATCGAAGACGACGCAGTCTAGGCCACTGGCTTCCTGGAATGCTTCTCCTCCCCCTTTGACAAGAATTCCGTTTTGAGCTGCCAGGCCACCACCAACAAAGAGAGCAGTTGGAGCGGCGAGAGCAATACCACAAGGGCAGGCTATGACGAACACAGCGATAGCAAACTGCAGTGACCAAAGTAGCCATCCTCCGCGATCGAGATCCAGATAATCACGCGGAAGTGCTCCAGAAAGGCCAAGGCCGAGCCACACGATCCATGTGGAGATGGCGATGAGAGTGACAACTGGTACAAAATAGCTGGTCAGAATGTCCGCGATACGTTCAACTGGGGCGCGTCGCGTTTGGCCTTCCCTGACCACGTCAACAATTTGATCCAATAGAGACGCTCCAGAAATACCACTGGCCCGGATAGAGATAGGACCGCCATTGTTTATAGTACCCGAAAAGACTTCGTTTCCCACCGACTTCTTCACAGGTCTAGATTCACCTGTAAGACTGGATTCATCAAAACAGGCCTCGCCCTTGATAATATGTCCGTCGCATGGCGGGGAGCCACCACTTGGGACTCTGACGATGTCACCAATTTCTAGAAGGTCTGCACTGATATCTCTCGCCTGCTCTCCGTCATCTTCATAAACGAGTGTGGCTTCTTTTGGCCGAAGCTTTGTCAGCATCGTAACCGCGTCTCCTGTTTTTGCTCTGCTATACGCTTCAATGAGTTTTCCAATGAGTAAAAACATAGAGAGAAAGACGACCGAGTCAAAATAACTCGCACGGTTGGAATTCACTGCCAAAGTCGAGGAATGCGTGGCTGCAATGGCTAATTCGGAAATAGACGAGAAGAACGCAATAGACGTGCCCAAGGACATAAGCATATTCATGCTTCCAAAACGGTAGAATCTCTGGAGGATAGGCGTCGTACTCCCAGGCTTCCATAGTGCGTATATCTCCTTCAATGCACGGCGATGGAAAATATCAGCGGCAAAGAAGTATACAGGACAAGCTAGAAGGAAGGAAGCCCAATCCCCACGCCGAACTTCACCAGACCACATCGGCTGCATGAAGAATTGCCGAATGCGATTTTCTGATGGCACCAGGCTCATAAAGACGATCGTAATAAGAAAGGTTGGAATAGCAACAGCGATAGAAAGAGCGGTCCGAAGTAGGAGGCGTCGCTGTTCGCGAGCATTTATCTTCTGTGAACGCTCTTCCAATGTTGGAGGGTGATAAATGGTGGCCTCTAAATTAGGGTCTGCTGTTGAAATCGAAGCCAGGATGTGCCGAATGGTGAAGCTAGGGGCGTTCGGCATATAGCTGACCTTCAAGATGGGATTGCCCATACTCAACAGTGAATCAATCGTTACTTCTCCAGCACACTTCTTCAGATACCCAATGATTCGAGGAGGGCAATTATCACAATACATTCCACTGACGTGGATGGAGATCTCTCTCCGCCGATTTGGGCATAGCGTGTGGCTCAATTCGTTGACATCATTCAGCGTGGCCTCATAACCAATATCCTCGATAACCTCTGCAATCTCAGGCAGGTTATGTTTGCCTTCGAATATGACCGTAGCGCTGTTGGAGAGAAGATTTATGTCAACTCTTTTTATCCAGTCGAACTTCTTCAACGCCCCTTTGATAGCCCCAATACAGCTACTGCATGTCATCCCACCCACAGAATATGACGCTTTCAAAGTGGTAATTTTGGGCTCGCGGTCGGCCTTCTGTAGAGCAGGAGATTCATCGACATGTTCCACTGTGGCCTCATATCCCACGTCTTCAATAACCGTAACAATATCAGCCACGCGGCTTTTGTGCTGAATCGTAACCACGGCACTGTTGGTAAGAAGAGTAACATTCGCGGACTGCACCCATGATTCCATCTCGAGTGCCTCGGAGATCTTGCCGACGCAGGTGCCGCAAGTCATTCCCACAATAGATACAGTCACTTTCATAACCCCCAGAGAATCCGCGGGGTCGACAACCACCGAAGGTTCATTCACGGCATCTATTTGCATATTCAGTTTCTGTCGCTGCCTGCGTTCACACAGTAGATACCTTGCTCCACGCTGGAAGTAGAAAGGGGTTTCTCTTCCGATATCGCCCCTTTCTCTGCACGGCAAATATCACATCGTTCGAAGTGTCTGGCTATTCTTTTCTTTTCGGACTTATTGGCCGACTTATAGCGCTTCGACCATATCTCCGCGGCCCTATCGATCCATCCGTCTTGCCCGGCCAACGCGCTCTCGTTGGCGGCGCCATCTTCAGTATTAAATCCAGCTTCCGCATCTCGCACCACATTGTAGATCTCAAAGCCAGCATCACCAAGCGCTTTTGAGAGGGTTAACTCAAGTAGAGACGGATGGTGGCGAACCGTAACCGTATGAGAGACAAGAGACGTATCCACAGAGCTAGGCCTTGGTACAAGCCGGAAAAGAACCTCCTCAATGTTCGACACGCAAGAGGCACAATGGAGGTTTGACAACAAAAACGTCGTGATACGACTTTGGGAATGGGCACGTGGCCTAGGTGAAGACCCAACCATACTGGGACCGGGATCAGTCTTCAACAGTACGGCTTTTCAGTGGATGTTATAAAGGTAACTGCTTTTCATCAATCTTCAAGGTGAAAGAGCAGGGCTTAAAGTAGCATGGCACTTTCTGCCTTTATGGGGACGGTCTCGTCATTCCGGCACACGGTCCTGGTCAGGTCCACCCCGCTCTATCCATGCAACCAATCCAATGCGACTGAGGCGCAACTGAAAACTAACCAAAACTAGTCTGACGTCCTGGACTCGTGAGCAGATTTGAGCCACTTTTTATCAGGAGATTCCCCGATCGACCATTAACTTATTTGGTCTAATTCTCTTCCTAAGTTCGGTTTCTTCCTTGAGCACATGAAGATAACTTAATGTTATCAGCCCCTGAAGAAAGTGAGTCCCGGCAGTAGCCTTGTACTCGGTAGTCCTTACCCCACCCTCTCTCGCAGAGTTCCTGGCGATGAACCGCGGTAATTTCCTAGCCGTTAGTCGTATCTACGAAAAAGACACCATAAGGAGGCTAGCAAAGCATGGATTGAACAACAGCATATGCGCCTGATATAAAGCGTTTCAGATGGCAGGTAGGTTCTAATAAGTTAGCGACCCTAAACCTACTGTTGGCTAACGCGGATATAAGCGTAGTAAAGGATCCAAGTTATTAACTGATTTACACAATTTGCTAAAGATTCCTGGCCGTTTCAGGGGGCATAAAGAAGACGACTTATATCATGCTATACGTAAGCCAGATATACATACAAAAGTTCAAGATCGATTCTCTCCCTCAATGGAAGCGGGCCAAATGGGTTAAGCTTTATGCGCCGAGAATTGTGGGCAGCCACATGCATCCGGTGATAGACTACCCATGCCCATCGTTAACGAGAATTTGTCCAACAGATCACCAATAGCGTATGTACTCAGATCTGGATCTTCTAGTTCCTTTAAACGAGGCGATTGAGTCGTATTGGGTTCGACAGACTGATTTTTTGCGACAAGACGCCACGGATCCTGCTCTGGTTTATCACCAGGGCTTCCAATCATAACACTTCTGGTTGTCCTCTCTAGATAGGACTGAAGCACCGTCATGAGCTGATCGAGCAGTGCAATAGCAAAGCTGATTCCATCGCGAGACCCCTGCACCAGGGTTGTTGCGTACATCGATGGAATCACTCCAACAAAGGATGCTGGCGGGTGGATTTCTCCCAGTATGCCGTGAAAATGCTCGAGGTTTCCTTTTGATTGAAGAATGCAGTTTATTAGACGCCTTATCATAGCCAGGTCAACATTTGTATGGGATGACACAATATTCTTGGTCGTCGCCAAGTATCCAGGGCATTTGGCGACTTCATTAAATGCATAATCCATTGTTTGGCCCAAGGGGCTTCCTCTGTCTTGCTCATCCTCTGCCCTAGCAATCTCTTCGCTCATCAATATCTGTGTCCACTCAGGATCCCCTAGGAAACAGGGCACTGCATTTATAAAGGCATCTGCGACGATGTAAGGTCGCCAGCAAAGCATGAGAGTCCGACCCATGCCTCTTGTATGTGCTGAAGGGCCACGAGCGCAGAATAGCTGACGGATGCCTTGAGAATGAATAATCCACGAACGGTCAGTGCTACCATCGAGGACCTCGTAGCCCCCGAGCAAAATCGCGGCCGCAAGAGTTTCATCCGATAGTACGGCTGGTGTCCGTAAAAGTCCGGCTAAATGTGTTATACCTCGACTATACATATGACGCGCGCACATTATAGCTTCCCTGTTGCCCTCTGCCGCTCCCATGCGTAGACAAATTAAGGCGCGGACGCCCCAGATCAGTGCTTGAGGAAACGACGACCACTTGCCACGTACGAAGTCCATCCAACTAACATCCACGCGGGAATTGAAGGAGGCGACGTAGCTTGGAAAATGATAATCCAGCCATCTTTCAAAGGATTCTTTTGTTTGGATGTTGATCGCCTCTACCGCCAAATTAGGAGCGAAATCTTCGTCCATTGAGTATTGGCCGTACTTTCGAGTAACGGATTCGGTTTGGTTCCGTATTGTAAGGCCACGATCATAGCCTGGGCATCTTGTGCGCCGATTGATACATTTCAGGCATTCTGGTCGAGTTTCATCGCACTTCAATCTCTTTTAGCTCTGATTGTCTCTTCCTGGAGGTGCTAATATGGTTTACAATGTGATGTATCAGCGCTTACCTTGACCCTGCGATTTATGCATCGTAAACATCCTGTACTGCGGGGAACGCCAACCATTTCTGTCGTCTTCGGGGTTGGTTGATTCTGCTCCTACATGAATGCTTGATCATTCAATACTTGGAGAGCTGGCACTCGTGGTGCATATGATAACGGAACAGCTGGTTCTCCCACTGGATGAAGGGCTGCCGTATTTCTTCCTAGGTTGATATTCATTCGAATAGCAGAGTATCAGACAGGTTCCGTTCACATTACACCGCTCGGCAGAAAAGTAAGGGGGTTTATTTTCGCCAAGACGCTATTTAGCGTCATTTAAGTCTGAATCGTTAACGCTCAACATTTTGCGGCTCCCAGCAAAATGTAACCAAGGCTTGGTTTGGCTAATAGAGTCACGGTAGACACTAGGGATGCACACGAGTAAGAGGCTTCTTATTCGCGAATGGTTCGTGAAAATCACGCGTAATCAGATTTCTCTCAAGATATATGTAATTCGTAACAATTTAATCACCGCGTAGATTCCCCGTTAAACCTTTTTCTTCTTGTCGAGAATTGCCACTCTGCCCTATTCCTAAGGTAAAGAGGACAGTTGGCAACTAAGACCATTCCTGTACTACTGTAGTTTTGTTTCCCACTGTCATTCTGTAGTGGGAGATAGACCACTTTTACAGATTGAATATACATTTACTCCTAAAAAGTGCATAGAGTGTATATGGAAGAAAGATATATTCTGCTCTAGCACACCTTCATAATACCAAGGTTTGGGCTTCCCTTCGCCTACAAGCGATCACATTCCAATATTCGAACCTAATTCTATTGGAACATGATTTTTAGTGGTTAAGTTAATCTATTGATATGTCTATTATTTCTCCTCGTATGTCATGCAAAGAAAGTGTGTTGTTGAACATTGAAGATGAAGGCAGCTGTAAAAAAATACACGTCGTATTCGTCTCATCAAATGGTTTACATGCCCTGAAACGAACGAAGTGAGAGGAAGATGTACCTTCGTGGGCAGAATACTCCTGTTGTAAGAAAACTTAATCTATGATGTTGCTGTTAGTCGACTTTCCGCGCAATCCGAGCGAAATTTGGCTTCTCCATACTATAGTATGTTTTTAAACCATTGGTAATGCGATTTTCCAAAATTTGAGACATTTTATGAAGAAATAGGTTTGTGGGGAATTACTTAAGAAGGCAGGTTTGGAAACCCGGCAATAGTCTAGGTTTGCAGTTATTCTAACCCAACACCTGAAGGCGGTGGGGTCCGACGGCCCAAGTAAGTTAATTGCAATATCAAAACCCCTGAGAGCTTGGCATAAACACATTGCACAGGTCCCCAGGATAAGCAGAATCACACAATCACAACTCTCTCATTGGATCCTCCACTCACTGGGAATACCGTATAGCCTTGGTCCGGCAATTGCTTTTGACAGTTGAAAAACATCAGTGGCGAAACCGTTAAACGCAATTTCTGGAAAGTAAGATTGCTCTACACAAAGTCTTGCTTTGCGCGTCATTCCAAATCCAAGTCAATCATGGGACATCAGAGCCCTAATCAAGTCTCTCTACCCATCGATATTCTGTTGCTCATTGCGGACTATTTGCGTCCAGGGCACTTGGTCCAGTTCCTACGAGCGATCCCTGGAATTGGGCAATATTTTGTACCGCGACACGTCAGCGACCGAGACACGGAAGGGAATACTCTCGTTCATCTACTTGCTGCTGGTGGCGATGTCACATTACTCAGTTTCATCAGCACGATTGCCGGCGTAGAACTTGATCTTCCAAATTTTTCCGGCGAAACGCCATTGTGCTTAGCAGCGAAGTTTGGGAATGAGCAAGTCGTCAAATTACTTCTTGCGAAAGCTGGTGCAGATGTGAATTCGAAGAATCATGAAGGCATGTCGCCTCTCGCATGGGCTGCGTGGAAGGGGCACAGTCGAGTAGCCACTGCTCTGATTCAATGCAATGTGGATGTGGTGACAAAAAATATTTATGGATTCTCTCCACTCGCTCTAGCAGCAGAAGAAGGGCGTGAAGTGATTGTTGGTCTTCTTCTTAAGCACGAGAAGATTGATCCAAATGTGCGGACCAATCAAGCAGCAACACAAACATCTTTCAGCGCAGGAGAAGGCCGGTCATTAGCCGCGACTGCTTTGATGCAGCCGCAGGCTGTTGGAGTGAAATTAGCAGACCTCAATGGCTTCACGCCTCTGATGTTGGCTGCATTAAGGGGTCATGACTGTATCGTGGAGTGTCTGCTTCGAAGACATGATATTGATATCAACTTGAAGGATGATAAAGGTCTCACCGCCATTGCTCACGCAGCCTCCGAAGGGCATGAATCTGTCGTGATGCAATTTTTCCGAAGAGCAGACCTGGATATCAACTCGAGGGATGACAAGCACTATACCCCTCTAGCGTGGGCCGCGTACAAGGGCCATCAAAGAGTCGTGGGGAGGCTACTTCAGCATCCTGATATTGAGGCAGATTTGGCAGACCATACGAATGCCACTGCGCTGTCTCTAGCCGCCAGCAAAGGACATGATGGAGTTATGGAATTGCTAGTCGCACTGGAGTGTGTTAATCCAAACTCAAAAGATGATAGTGGCTATTCTCCTTTGGCGATAGCAGTTTACAATCGCCACACAGCAGCAGTGAAAGTACTGTTCCAAAGAAACGATTTGGATGTCAATATCCAAGACAACGATGGTTTCACTCCTCTTATGTGGGCGGCACAAGAAGGATATCAAGATATAGTCAACCTCCTTCTTCAACGTCATGATATTCAGCTATCCCCAAAGTCAAATGAAGGTCTCA